AGTGAGATTCAATCTCACTCTCCTTGCCTTGATACATGAATGCATTGGATAGCACCAGAAGAGTAGAGGGGAGCCCATGCTTCAGACGAAGTTCAAGCCAAGTGTTAAGGTCGTCCCTTAGTCGCCCTGGACTGACTCCGTGGGTACGTATGCCTCGGGATGCACAAGCAGTTTGTAATTCTGGGACGGATAGCGAATCTACCCCTTCGTAAGAGATGGCACGGTCGTCACGTTTGATCTGTCGCATTCGGTGGCGAATGTTGTATCGAAGAATCGCATCCGTGCCGAATGTATTCAAATTCATGTAACGACACATGCCCACAAGTTGAGCTCTTGAAAGATTATCAAGAGTAAGATCATCGCGAAAGATCTTGCAAACTTTAATCACATCTTCATGACTGGGGGATTCCCCGCTCGACCGAATCTAATTGTCAGAGAGCATTAGACATCGACCCTAAAAATATATATTTGTACAATAAACACCTTTTGAAAAAATTGTGCGAACTCTTCTCTTTGCCTTGTCTTAGCACTTAGTTGGATGCCGCCTTCACGCATAGTTGTTCTCAAAAAGTTTGAGACGTCCTTGCGAGTTGAGCGAAGCTTGCTTGACTTCAAGTCTTTTGCTTTTTGATCCTCATATGTACTAGGGAGTAAGTTTGGAAATATTTTAAGTGCGATAGGTAAGAAAAGCTCTCCGGCTGGTACGATTATGAAAACGGAGAATGGAACGAGACGGCCTAGATCCTTGACTGTACGTTCAAGCTGTATCAACTATGTTAGCGACAGTGACGACTAAGAGATTAGATGATGAAGGACATGCCTGACGACGTTCCCTCCGGCTGAGCTCGTAGCCTGCTGCCATCTTCAGCGCCAAATTTGACGATATTTTAATCTCGGCACCGAGAAGCTTTGTCCCATCCCAAAAGTGCTGCACTCCATGTTTAACTTTCTGCCACACAGTCGTCTTTTTTTCCTCCTTTTTCTTATCAGGGGATTTTCCATTGATTGCGGGGACGACGGTAACATCTTTGCCATCGGCTACCTCTGACCTTGCTAAAGTAGTCTCCATTTGCCCCAATTTCACGGCCGTTGAAGGAATAGTCGTTTCACCTTGGTGTACTTTTTCTGGGGCAACATCTCGAGCTAATGGCTTCCTAGCCTCTTGAGCATTGAAACCGGGGGGGGGTATAACTGTGTTACTACTAGGAGCAGATGTGTCTGTATTCAAAAATCGTTGTGAAGCAAACAAGATGTAAGCCGGCCGGTCGTGAGCAATCCATGATCTTAGAAACTGTCGGCTAGTAGATATCCCAATAGCAGATTGAAGCGAACCGCGGTTGGCTTTAGAAGGTTGTCAGAAAAAGGGATGAAATATATTTAGTAATTGTTCGGTGGGTTGGAATCATGTACCTGAAGAAAGAATGAAAGACCGCTGTGTTGCTGGGTTAAGAAGCAGTCTTGAAGTATTCATTGCTTGAGATGTGTATCGAAAACTGGACTGAATGATGGGTAAATGTAGGAATTGCGCGCAGGAGGGAGAATACTAGACCCAAATACTTGTGAAGAGAGAGGTACGGGGCAAGGAGGGGGAGGAAAAGGGAACGTGAGGATGTGATTCAAGACTCGTGGCTTAAGATCGACCATGCATACAGTCATGTTCTAGAAGCTATCGCTTCTCAGACTTCAGGGTTGATAATTTTTACAATCCCTTGTGAATCTTCAATTCTCATACAAACCCATTGTTTATTCCTTTCGGAGATTGTATGATGTCATTGCCCTTGAGATCTGTCTGGCTTAGGTAAGCCATCTGTGTACCTACAGTATCAGAAATGAGGGTAAAACTGATACCGCATCAGTACCGGGAATTGTGAGAATATGCCGCTTTATCTCCGTATTTTGACGAAGTAAACGGTAGTGTTACCGCAGTGGCACGGCATTGCCAAAAACTGCGGTAGTCATTTTATATATACGTATTCCCTGCTTATTCATGTCCGAGTGATGCCCTATGAATGTACCTACATTAACTTGCGTACATACCACCAACATAAAAGAGGCTACATATTTCCTTATGGCTTGAGTTCCCAAGATGTTCATAATCTGGCCCACCCAGACTGACTATTTCCCTCCACAGGTCGGCTTTACTTAAAATCCTCTTAGACTCATTAAAATCCCTTGAGGAGCTCTACCTATATATTACTATAGCTACCGCAAAATTGAAAATGTCTTTCTGGGCTTGATTATTAGGGGCCGGTGGCCATGGCTTGTTGGGGGTTAGAGATTTAAACATTACGTGGGAATGGTTTAGTCAATCATTAATACAATATTTAACTTCGACAAGTCAATATTTCACGAGCAGGATAGTCCGAGGGGCAGTCACCCCCATTATTCTCTCTAATATATAGATATCAAATGTCTTACTTGTCTTCAAGATAAAAAAGTAGCTTTCGTCGCCCAGAGGTACTTAAATATTGCATTAGTATAAGTTAACACACATCACCCCAAAGTCTAGTGGCAACCTTATAATAGTACTGCTATTCATAAGGGAGATGAAGTGAGGATGATCTCATAATCAAAGCAGTTGTGTATCCTCATTAGCTGAGCTCATGAAGAGGTTTGGATGATTGTCACTGAAAAGAGTAGATAGAGGGTAGATAAATGGCAGTTGATAAGAGTGACTCATGTCCAGAAGATCACCAGGTATTCTATATAGGGTCTGTTTGAAGTTTTTCCCTCTCCTCATCTGTCTCCCGATAAATATATTATGCCCCGAACAGCGAAAGTAATATCATTTTATCAATCGGTGTCCCGGCCAGCCTGTTGCTAATTTTGACAGTGTCCTTATGCTGCCGGTCCCATCAATCTCCCGGCCGGCCACCCGCCCTCTTCAAAATTAAACCATATGATGCCGAGAGGTTCAAACAGACTACAAAAATTCCAATTATTCAATCGAATTCATGTCAAGGCATTAAGAGTGAAACAACTAGACTTAAGGCTGAGGTATCAACTTCAGTCTTGGAGTGGGAGTGGTTCCTTCTATCTGCAGGTTCCACGGAGTATAACACCCGACCAATGATAGGCCACATACATGTATATAACAGCCAGACTCAGAGTTTAGCTTCTATCATACTAGGATTGAAGAGGAATTATGATACCGCCAAAACTCGATAAAATTGGCTAGCTCCCGTGAGATCGAAAATGGGAAACTTCCAGACTTGGCCGAATATTGAACTTGGCGTTCCGGATTCACCCAAAGGATCGAGTAATCTCATTTCTCTTCCGCTAAACGAATCGGGATACTACATGGTCCAGTATCAGCCAGTCGTTTTCCATATATGGATAACTGGAAAAACTTTCCGTACACAGTAAAAAATATTTTACCACGACTCAAAGCCTGTTGACCTATCTCCTGGTTATTAATACTAAGGCTCTGTTCGGACGGACGTGGTATTCAATATCGGTTGCATGGTGTCATACTCTGAGATAAAACCAAGTATTCGCCAAAGACAAAAGCGTTTGGTATTGTTGGGTAGAGGCATGAATATAGAGTACGAGACAACGGGAAATAAATACCTCCAGAGAAACCATGGTATTTTGTGGTGTATTCATGGTATCAAAACCAATAATTTGGGCCATCCGAACACTCAAATACTACACTAACTTACACGCCTTCCTATTCGGAGCGAATACCGTGGTACTGACGTCCGTCCGAACAGACCTTAAATATTTACTTGCATTAATAATACCCAACGATCAGTCCTAATTGAATCCAGGTTTTGATCTACCAACTCATTCGAAATTGGTTATTATTTTTGTTAATATTGTAACCTTTAGCTAAACCTGTTAATGAGCGTACTCAATAAATGAATTAACAATAACAATTAACGAGCGTACTACTCCTCAAACGTTGCCATTCACGTCGTATCACTCGATAACTCTGCTTAGTTGTGTTTTAAAAACGATAAAACCGCTAAAAACTACTTCATGGTACCGCCGACGCGCTACGCTCAATTGCAATCGATGTATCGAAGTGCAAATACTTGGCGAAGATGAGCAAGTACAAATTCTTCAGGCCATAGGCTGTACAGCGCTCTCTCGCTATAAGGAATTTATACCGATTTAGTGTGAAAATGTTGAGGGGGTCGGACGTCCCTATCCTCGTAGGGCACGTATCCTAATAAATAACATCCTTATAATAGAGCGTATTTACTAACCGTCAATTCTGACAATTGACACTTCAACATTGAGGCAGAATTGACACTTCTCCTCCATAGGGATGTGAAATGCGCAAGCCGCAACAGTATGATAAGTACATGGTTTACTGTAACTGTATTTGGTATCCTTTTGACATACCGCAAAATTTAGAAATGGCTGCCCCCAGATTATCCTGCCCCTCCGAATATGCTGCCACCCATCATTAGCCACCCGAGTATAAATCCATGACTCAATGACTTGTCTAACTAAAAGATCGTACTTTACTAGAGCCCCTGCTAAGCTGCCCCCACAATCATCAAGCCCAGGCAGGCATTTCCAAATTTTGCGATATTTCACGCCTGGCAAGCGACCCTACCCAAAACTAACACTTGTGGATGCCGCTTTGGAGAGTGGCGGAGTTTCAATTGTCAGAATTGACGGTTAGTAAATACGCTCTAAGAGAGACCGCTGTATCTTCTTCTGCGTTGATCTCCCCACCAGTGTGTATTTATATCAGTTTTGTTTGAATCAAGCGTAACCCCCCAGTGACACCACAACGCAATTTTGAAATCTCGTCCTTTACTACAGATACATCTATTGAACCACCAAATAATAGTTTCTACCTTTGAAATGCAAGTGAGGAAGGATACATGCAAGACGAAGACAAACTGTTGAGAGAAAGTCTGATAAAGCATATTTTGCCCATCCTTTCTTCTACAACTAGCTTTATAGGCCGTTCATCAGCAGTCTAGTTTATATAAAATCCCAGAATGTTCTATTACCAAGCAAAAGATTCTATTTTCCGCTTTTTAAATCATAGGATTAGTTTTGTATTGTGGTGCAGCCCCATTGACTTCGCTCTTTTTCGCTTCGATACTAACAGCCCAAAGTTATATATTAGTAACAGGCCGTTTATACTTAGTGATTCGACCAAAGGAGGAGATTTGAAGACATACATAGGCTCTGAGGCATCCTCTTCTTCTTCCGCCAGCAATCGCTCGGCTTCCAATGCTGCAATACATCCTGAGCCTAAACCACTAGTTAGGATATACAACTACCGCGTCCAAATCTATAGAACACTTACCTGCGCTTGTAATTGCCTGTCTATACCGCTTATCCTGTACATCCCCGGCAGCAAAAACACCCTTGACACTGGTATATGATGTGCCAGGGGTTGTTATGATATAACCGTCCTCATCGGTGACGATCTGGTTTTTAAATAGGGAGGTAGCCGGTTCGTGCCCAACAGCATAAAATAACCCATTGGCTGGCAACTCGCTAATCTCGCCTGTCACAACATTCTTGATCGTGAGGTTTTGTAAAAGCCTGCCGTCCCCTTTTGCTTCTGTGGCCACGGTATTATACAGAATCTCAACCTTTGGATGCGCCGTGAGCCGCTTAGCCATGATGTTAGATGCCCTAAGCTTATCCTTTCGCACCAGGACCGTCACTTTACTTCCATATTTAGTCAAAAAGATTGCCTCCTCCGCAGCCGAATCGCCACCCCCAATCACCGCCAGGGGTTTATTCCTGAAGATTGGTACAGCTCCATCGCAGACAGCACAGGCGCTGATGCCACTTTGCCAATATTTCTCTTCGCCAGGGAGGTTAAGTCGTCGCGCCGATGCACCAGTTGCAATGATAAGAGTATCGGCGGTGTGGGGCGCAGCATCCTCACTGTACTCGAGCCAGTACTTGAATGGTCGCTCTGATAAATCAACTTTGGATACTGTCTCTGTAATTATCTCAGTGCCGAATCTTGCGCTTTGTTCTCTCATGGCTTCCTGTTGAATATACCACATGTAAGTTCCGTACGGCCTTCTTCGGGAATGACTGTGATAGAGACAGCTCGTATATAATTGGAAACCCTACCATAAGTTCTTGACCACTAATCCCATTTGGAAAGCCAGGATAGTTCTCAACATCAGTGGTTGTAGTCAATTGGCCACCAGGGGCAATCCCGTTTGCAAGCATTCCCTCGTACATAACGGCTGAACGAGGTCGAGGTCAGTTAATTAGTCCACTGAAGGCGGTATTCAATGAGAAGACAAACGTTTCAGTTCTGCACGAGCTAGATAGACTGCGGCTGTATGGGCAGCAGGGCCCGAACTATAGTGGAAAAGGAGGGGGAAAAAACGTTAAAATCCGTGACATCGCGATGGCGGGGTAAGTAACTCATACCCAATAACTGAGGCGGCATAAAATTAGTATGTGCGTAGCCAGAAGAGAATCCAATGAAATAGGGACAAACTTACTGACGACCTTGCTGTGCATTGATGATTTGCCAAACAAAAAGTTCGAGTTGTGTGGTAGTTTCTGTTGATGGGTCCAAAGAAGTGTAATGGCACCGGAAACGCCTAGCAAAGGCCGGAAGGAGTACTTAAGAAAGCGTGGTGAAAACGTTTTGTCTGATCTATCAAACTACTTCACAAGTGGATCGCTTGTGAATAATTATTTTGAATAAATGTGAAGAGAGAGGGGAGAGTAGGTGGAATTACAGGTTTGGTTTGGAGGGGTTGCAATGCAATTGTGGGGTGCGGAAGGAAGCAGGGACAACACGGGCAAATAACCGGAAACCCTGAAAGTTATGTAGGTATTCAAGCTGGCAGTATTAAAACGAAGAACGAGGTGGTAAAACAACACGGCAGGTGTATTTACCAATGACACTGAAGAAGTTGATGCCGAAGTTAAGGAAAGGGAGGGGGAGCAGAAGGAGAAGAGCATATAAGTGGAAACAGAAGACCAGAGAAATAGAAGTGTTGCTGATGTGATAATGAGCAGCGGCTCGAATCGAGACTTGTCTAATAGATGATCCGACCTAACGGGTTCTTCCTTCGCCCTTCCCTAATTGGCTGGTTCCCTCCCTTACATTACGGGATCACACTGGTGGACCCGTTCCGGAGCACTACCTGAGCCTGCTTACATGTAGGTACATACAGAGTAGGGTACCTCAACTTTCGGATAGGTACATGTAGGCAGGTACCTACTCTAGAGTAGATGTAGGTACGGGTGCATGTTGAGCACCCAGTACTCGTATCTTCCTGATGTTTGCAAAAGGAACCACTATTGCATACCATACAAATACGCGCCAAGTACACAATTTAGTATGGTACGCAATCTGTGGTTCCTTTCACAAACGTCAGGAAAATACGAGTACATGTACTCCTACATGTGCGTATGTACATGTACTTTGTACATAAATGTACTATGCACCTAAAAGATAGATCTAACGTTTTTGACCTGGTACCGTGTCAGACTGGGAATCAGGTCATTACTAACCATACAAATTTAGTCGTATTTATTGCCGAGCCTTTTCGCCTCCAAAATTTGTCAAGATTTTGGTGCCGTTGCCATACGACACGATTCTAGGTCTGACACGGTACTCGGTCAAAAACGTTATCCCTTAACCCGTCAATTGCTGACCCCGGTGATATAGGGGTTGAATTTGTATGGGAGATCCATTATTTGATAAGAAAGATAAGATCTGTTTCTTTTTTGGTGGGTCAGCACTTTGGTGACGGTTTAAGGGATAGAGTATAACCAATATACAATGATCCGAGGCATCCTTTCAATATTGCAGCTTACAGTCCTTCTGTGCTTTGTTGCAGCTGTATCATCCAAAATTTCAATATCACAGTACATAACTTACGTGTCTAGTACAAATAAAAAGGGATGATATCACCACAATTATCATATTCTTCCCAATGCCGATTCGTATTAATTGTAGGAACCGTGTTAGTGGAGTATTCCAATAATACTACTATGTACTACATCTAATTAGTATATCTAATCAGTATATAGCTATACCGAGCTAGTATGCAATGTGTATTTTAAAAGTTTTGATTGGATGTTTTCTTTTTCTCGAGCTATTGATTAGGGTGGGTCAGCTAAAAAGAAAGGTTATGTTGGAGGTTTTGTTAGGTTACCGTTTCCTTTGGTTGTTATTGAATTATGCTATTCGGTGATCGTGATAGATATGTTTTGTGATTTTGATATCGTTTGGGATTGTTCTGTGATACTGTGATTGTGATATATCAACGGTATATCACTTTAGCAGAGCAGCGCAGAGTCAGTACTAGGGTGTAGCGAAAAGTGATCAGAATCTGATAAGACAAATACTGTCGTACACGGGGTATTGGCGGATACTGGGTATTGGCGAATTGAAGGTAAAAGTTGGCTTGGCTGTCTCTTTTTGCCCTGTCCGCCATCACCCAGTATCCGCCAATACCCCGTGAACGACAGTACTGGGCGTTGAGGGTAAATACGAAGAATCTCATAAGAGAATCTTGCTGTGAAATAGGTGTGTTTATCTTATCAGATTCTCGGTATTTATGGTTAACCCCGGTACACGTATTCACCGCAGCATTCACTTATCAGATTCTGATCACTTACCCTCAACACCCGGTACACCTCTCTGGTGACACTCTTCATTATGCTTTATTTCATTATCCTCACCGGCCAAAGGCCGGAACCGGCTTGTATGTAGGTATCCCTTGGACGTACGAGACATTTGGAGAATCTCTCTCATGTATTAGCGCGAATTGGTAGTCATGTGACCTAGAATTTGGCTGAGAAAATGTCCGGGTAAGCAATTTGCTGCATTTATCGGTCTTTGGAATACTCAGAGGTGCCAAAAACTTCGCAAGTTGCTGCTTTATTACAGTAAATTGTTTCCCAGATAGGCTACGCTAATGCATGAGAGAGATTCTCCAAATGTCTCGTACGTCCAAGGGATAAGGAGTATGCAATGTGGATTTTAAAGGTTTTGATTGGTTAAGTTTTGGACGTTTTCTTCTAGAGCTATTGAAGAGGGTGATTCAACTAAAAAAGAGAAGATATGTTGGTGATTGAGGTTGTTATTCGGTCGGTGATTGTGATATATTTTTGGTGATTTTGATATGTTTTGTTATATTTCGATGATCGTGATACATGTATTTTTGATGGTTTTGATAACGTACTCATAGAACACTTCCCTAGTAGGGTAGTAATAGTATACCTCTATGGTGACAGTGGTCTCCAGTTTTTATTTCATTATCCTCACCAGCTAGAGGCCGGAATCGACTTGTACATCCATATATATATGTACATTTAATACACTTAGTAGAGTACATGTACTCATTAAAATGTATACATACTTGTGTGTTCTTGGGTGCTATATAGCTACATTCATGGATCACATGTACTACATGTGTGTAGGCGTTCAGTAAAAGGTCGTCAAAGTCATGTAACACCAAAAAATGTACTACATACTACATGTACATGTAGTACTCTAGAATAGAGTAAAGTGTAGAGTAGATACGTTTATTACCTACAAATACATGTATGTGCGTCGAAGACCTGTAAGTTTCACCAGAGGTACTGGCATCCAGCATTTGTCGAAGAACTTGGGCACGGAGCTTTTCCAGGAATATTTAGGCATGTTGCTCTACTTTAAGTACATGTATGTACATCTTATAACTATCAGTTGGCCACCTCGCCAGGGCGAAGTGTGAGCTTGAATGTGACCAAATTTTGGGAAGGGCGGGTGGGTGTGGTGAGTCCGGTTTTTACAGTACCGATGCCAGTGCCAGTGAGCTGAAAGTATGTGTAATTTAATGGAGTTTGCTTTAACATAAACTTCCGGAATTATATTGCATAGCTATTGCTACCTAGTGTAGTGGTTTAAATGTCTGATATATGTCGAAGTGCTTGGGATTCAAATTCCAGGCTCGACGATATATAATTGAGGGCCTCGAAGGTGCATCACATTGTCCATTCTAAATGGATGAGATACTTTGCGACAGAGGAAGAGGGTCGTCCGACTTAGTGTACCATGAATTTATTCCTCTGGAGCTAAGGGCGTAAGGCTCCAGCTGTTTATTCAAAGCTTACTTTCCTTTCGGGGAGATTATGTGATGTGTGAACAGCTGGCGTATGTCGATGCAGTTTTTTTTCTACATGCCGAGTGATATTTCATGACCGAATAAAAAATGATTTTGGACAGAACCGTTGTTGCAAAACGTTATATTTATATAATGAATCAGCAAGCTGAAAAATGACCGTAAAGCTTTTCCTGAGCCTACAGAGAATCAATATCTGTTGGGAGGCTTATTCAAATGTACCATCATGCTGATGTTCATACTCAACGTTAAGCATGAGATTGTAACTATCAGTATTTATATTGTTATTTTATTCTCTATTGTACATGAATCCAATTACAATTGTGCTAACAAAACCTCCGATTAAACTATGTTTGTAGTTTGTGCGCCCGTTTCCTCCCTTTGTAATACCTTTAAATTGTTGACACCGGTAGTCCTGGATAGTGCAACATATAGCTGACCATGAGTAAATGATGTTGTCGCAAATCAATACCGACCACATTAAGTGATTGCCCCTGTGCTTTATTTACGGTCATTGCAAAACACAATCGAATTGGTAGTTGTTTGCGTGTAAGAATGAAGGATAGTTCTTCTTCTGTTGTTGATAGTTTGATTCGTGGGATGATTTTGATTTGACCGTCAAAGTCACCACCCAAGATTCGCACTTCGATGCAATGCCTGGCCATTTTTGTAACCGTCATGCGAGTGCCATTGTATAGACCTTGTTTTGGATAGGGATTACTTAGAAGAATAATCGGTGCACCAATTTTTAATTTCAATTCCGAAGGTGGAATACCGGCTGGATTCAAACTTTGAAGATATTCAGCCGGGAGCTCATTTGATCGATCCGGAGAGTCCTCAAAATCCGCAGTATCAGATGAATAAAAGCTTTGAGTTTCTCCAATTATCTCGTTCAGCACAATATCATTAAACTCTGATACCGTATCATTACGCATGGCCAGAATTGAACGGCCTGTGAACACTCTATGATCGACATGAGCTTGCTGGATTATTTGACGTGGAAAAACGTGAGTACAAAGCTCCTTAACAATTGTTGTTATTTGAATAAATGGTGGAAGTGTTATATATCCTTGTATATCGGGGTTGCATGACATTGCCGTAAACCATTCCGCAAATAACGTATTTGAAATATTGTAAAGAACCATGGGCGAGGCGGAAGCTGAGGGGTCGAGGGACATGGTTCGGCTTCCTAAGTGGAAGGATAGGCCTCGCGCGAGGGCTAGGGAGGGTGCAGTGGTATACCCGAAGGCAGGGACAGCGGTCGGTACGAGGAGAGAGGGGAGGACAGCGACAAGTGCCGAGAAGGACGCGGCGATGAACCAAAAGGCGGCGAAGATCATAACAGCGGATGCACAGGGCATGAGGGACAGCAGACGTAACGTGAACTGAGAGTAAAGTAATGTATTGAAGCGAAGTAAATCCCCCAAAGTGATAACCCAAAGTAGAATACAAGATGTTGCGTAAGGAAAAGAAAGGAAGACAACAGAAGACACCGACGACTCTTTATAGTAAGGAAATAACAACCGATTACTAATCCCACGGAACCTTTCAGACTTCCTAATAACTCATACAGTTAATACAGCAATATAGTTCATAACAGTTTAGCTCCCCCCCCCAAAGGGCGAGCTCCTGCGAGCAGACAAACAAAAACAAAGTAATAATAAAAAAAGAGAAGACCAAAGAAAAGAAGAAAGAAGAAGAATAAATAAAAAGGAAAGACAATTTTAACTAAACACATAGAGAAGACCGGCACCGAGGTTCGTAAGATTACCGTTTCCCACGTTGGGTCCTCTTGGGAACTAAGGCGGGTTTGGTAGGGTAGAGGGAGTGAAAGCGTTGCAGCGATCCTAACTCCGCATCGAGGTTCCGGGCGGGTTCCCAGGTGGGTTGTTCATAGCCTGTCCATTTAACCAGGTATTGTAGTTGCCGATGACGTATCCGCGAGTCTAGCACCTCCTGCACTTCAAACTCCTCTTCCCCTTCGACGACTACCGGTGGCGGGGGTGGTTGTATGTGGCCAGGAAGAGGCTGCGTTCGGGCGGGTTCTAGTAGGGAGACGTGGAACACCGGATGGGACTTCATCGAGGAAGGGAGTTCCAGTCGGTAGGCGTGAGATCCAATGCGTTCGAGTATTTTAAATTTCCCTAAGCGTTTATGGTCCAATTTGTCTGATGGCCGAGCAGTGCGTATATGCTTTCGCGACAACCATACCAAGTCCCCTACTTCTAGTCGTGGTTCTGGGAGCCGGGTGTTGTTGGCGCTATCAGTAGCAGCGGCTTGGGCGTACAGGATCTCGGATCGCAATGCGGTCTGTAGGGTGGTGAGCGAGTCGGCAAATTCTACTACTTCCTTCGGCGTGGCTTCGTGTCTTTCTTCGGCGGGTAGGACCTCTAATTGGGGGTTATACCCATAGTTTGCGAAGAAGGGGCTAACCCCTAAGGGCTCCGTGGTGGCGTTATTGTGCGCGAACTCTGCCAGCGGGAGAAACTCTGCCCAGTTGTCCTGTTGGTAGTTGACGTATCCCCATAAGTACTGTTCCATAATTGCATTTACTCTTTCGGTCTGTCCATCGGTTTGTGGGTGGAAAGCGGTACTGAATCGCGGTTTGATGTCCAACTGATTGCACAGTGCCTTCCAAAACTGCGAGGTAAAGGTCGTACCCCTGTCCGATACTATGTCTTTTGGCAGCCCGTGAGATTTCCAGACGTGTTGTAGGAATAGGCGGGCCAGTTCGGGGGCGTCCGCGGTATCTCTAGTGGGGATGTAGTGGGCCATTTTGGTGAGTCGGTCAACCACTACGAGGATGGCGTTGGATCCTTGGGACTCTGGTAGGCCGGTAACATGGTCCATTGACAACGAGGACCAGGGTTTAACTGGGGGAACGAGGGGTTTAAGGAGGCCATAAGGGGCGTGTCGGGCCGGCTTGATCCGGGTACAGGTGTCGCAGTGATCCACGTAGCGGGCGACATACTTTCGCATTTGGGGCCAGTAGTAGTTCCGTGACAGGAGTTCCAGCGTGCGGGCGCGTCCCGGATGTCCGGCCGAAGGTGCATCGTGGTTGGTGCGGAGGATCTCCAGCTTGATAGCGGCGTCATCGGGGATATATAGTAGGCCCTGATAGTATAGTAACCCATCCTTAATGGTGCATTCCCCGATGGGGAGGAAGCGAGAGTGTTTCTTCCTGGCGATGATGTCCTTCATCAATTGTTTGGACAGCGGGTCGTTGGCTAACGCAGTCTGCAGTTCATCGTGGCGGTCGGGTGATACCTTGGCGGGTCGGGGGACCTCTAGTACGGCGGCTAGACGGAGGTTCTTTGGCTTAAGTATAACCTGATGCTGTTGGGTCAGTCTTTCATCCCCTTCCTTAGGGAGATCTCCAGATCGACGTGTAAGGGCATCAGGTTTTCCATTCTTCGTCCCCGGTCGGTAGGTAACCACAAAGTTGAAGGAAGACAGCATTAGGGACCAGCGAGCTTGGCGACGGTTAAGAATCTTCGTGGACATAAAGTGTTCCAGGTTCTTGTGGTCGCAGTATACCGTAATCTCCTGGTTGCTCGGTTCCAGGTACTTTCTCCATTCCTCAAACGCACGAACAATCGCCAGCAGCTCCTTGTCATAGATGTCGTAATTGCATTCGGCTGGTGTCATCTTATGGGAGTAGAAGGCCACTGGGTGTAGAATTCCTTGGTCGTCTTTCTGGGAGAGCACGGCGGCCGCGACAAAATCGGAGGCATCGGTTTCCAATATGCAGGCCCGTTCGGGGTCGAAGTGCTTCAGTATTGGGGCCGTGGTAAAAGCTTCTTTTAGTTGGGTGAAGGCGTGGTCCGCGGCGGTGGTCCATACAAACTGGGTATCCTTCTTTAGCAGGTTCGTCATCGGGGATACCACTTTGGAGTAATCGCGGATGAATCTCCGATAGAAATTGGCGAATCCCAAAAAGACTTGTATGTCGTGTACCGAGGTAGGTGTTTTCCATTCCTGTATCGCCTTGGTTTTATCGGTAGCCATGGTAACCCCTTCGCCCGATATGATATACCCTAAGTATTCCGTACGATCGACGTGGAACTCACACTTCTCCGGCTTGCAGTGTAGCCCCGCCGATTGTAGTTTGTCCAGGATGGTAGTGACATGTCGCTGGTGTTCCTCCTCCGTGTTCGAGTAGATCAGGATGTCGTCGAGGTACGCCGTGCAGAAGTCGTCGAGGTGGGTTCGGAGGGTGTCGTTCATGAAGGCTTGGAAGGTGGCGGGTGCGTTGGTGAGTCCAAAGGGCATCACCAAGTATTCGAACAATCCATACCGAGTCCGGAAAGCGGTTTTCCATTCCTCCCCTTCCTTTATCCTTATCTGGTTGTACCCATTGCGGAGATCCAGCTTAGTATAGATCTTGGCGTCCTTGAGCCTATCCAGGGTGTCGTTAATCAGCGGTAGTGGGTAGCGGTTCTTGACCGTGAGGGCATTGAGGGCGCGATAATCCACACATAGTCGTAGGGAGCCATCCTTTTTCTTGATGAATAGGACCGGGGCTCCGGCAGGGGAGGAAGAAGAGCGTATGTAACCTCGAGTCAATTGGTCATCAAGGTATTCCCGAAGGGTCTTCAACTCTTCTGACGACATGCCGTATAATGGGCCAAATGGCGGTTGCTTGCCTTCTTGCAAAGGGATCTCATGGTCAATATACCGATGGATAGGGAGCGCTTGGGCCTCTGACTCTTGAAACAGGTGGAGGTAATGGTGGTAGGTGGTAGGGACCAATTCTTCGGTGGAGTTAGACGGCGTTGGGTTCGGACCGGCGGGGCGGGCAGCCAGGAGGAATAGGTGGTTTTCGGGCTGTTGTGCTTCCCTACGGAAGCGGGCCGCCGACAGGGTGATGGTACGGCGATGAGCGGTAGTCCTTGGGGGTATCGGGGGTGGTGGCGAGGTGGCGGCGGCGGTAGATCTCGGAGGTATTGGTGGTGGCGGCAGGGTGGCGGCGGCGGCAGTCAGCGGGGAGGAAGTGAGGGTGGAGGTCCATGAGGCAGCGGTATGTTGTCTGCATCGGTCGGCGTGGAAGGAAAGGGATCGATCGGCAAATTGAATTTTGGCAGCGTGGTGTTGGAGCCAGGGGAGACCCAGTACTACCTTAGAGTCACCTAGTTGGGTGACGAATAAGGAGATCCCTTCTACGTGGGTGCCTACTTCGAGGCGGAGCTTGCAGAAATGAGTGATATCTCCAGAGGCGATGGGTCGGCCGTCGATTACCTGTAACTGCCTAGGCGCGGGGAGCGGCTCGGTGGTGTAGCCGCGGGAGTGGGCAAATGAGGCATCGATAAATCCATACCCAGTGGCTCCTGTGTCGACTAGGGCGTGGAGATTGTCCTTGTTCCTAGACAACAGTATCGGTATTTCGAATGGTTCACAGTCACCGGGGTGGTGGAGTTGCCCAATCTTAAGTTTGGCACCTATCTGTCTTGACCGTAGTAGTCGCATGGCAGTATGGGGACCGGGGCTGTTCTCGACATGGGCTGTGCCACGGTGGAGGGTGACGAGTGCGGGGAGTAGGGGGGCTCCTAGCTGATGGAGGGTGTTCAAGACTTTAGCCGGTGAGGGGTAAGGTCCCAAACCAGTGAGGTACGGTCGGAAGGGTATGGGGGCTAGTGTCAAAAAACACCAGCCTGGGTCGTTCCCGGTCGGCCGCCCCCAAGGGATGGAGCGTCGGAGGAGGCGGCATTGTAGGCGGCGAGTACGCCGAGGTGGCTTCAGCGGTGGGATGTGGTCGGGGAGTGGTTCCTTCATGGCCTGCACGCAGAGTCTACTAAGAAGGTAGGCTATAGTCCAGGCTAGAAGGAAGAGTGCGGCGTTCGTAAACATTAAGAGGGCGTCTGTGGTCTCCGCGGAGAGCGAGGGTGTCGATGGTCGCATAAGCGAGGCGAGTTGGTGGATGTCAGTCGACCCTAAACGACGCAACATAGTGTAAAGAACCATGGGCGAGGCGGAAGCTGAGGGGTCGAGGGACATGGTTCGGCTTCCTAAGTGGAAGGATAGGCCTCGCGCGAGGGCTAGGGAGGGTGCAGTGGTATACCCGAAGGCAGGGACAGCGGTCGGTACGAGGAGAGAGGGGAGGACAGCGACAAGTGCCGAGAAGGACGCGGCGATGAACCAAAAGGCGGCGAAGATCATAACAGCGGATGCACAGGGCATGAGGGACAGCAGACGTAACGTGAACTGAGAGTAAAGTAATGTATTGAAGCGAAGTAAATCCCCCAAAGTGATAACCCAAAGTAGAATACAAGATGTTGCGTAAGGAAAAGAAAGGAAGACAACAGAAGACACCGACGACTCTTTATAGTAAGGAAATAACAACCGATTACTAATCCCACGGAACCTTTCAGACTTCCTAATAACTCATACAGTTAATACAGCAATATAGTTCATAACAAATATTATTCTGAACTCTCATATTTTGCTTCAATGATAAAAGGTTGAAGTGTTGCCACAAAGACGATGTTTGAAGACAGGCACGAACTGTGGCATCCCTGTTCCCCCCTCTAACAACAGGAAGAATTTGTGCGAAATCGCCATCAAGAATAATCGGGATATCACCAAACAAAGAATGGATATTTGTATCACAAATATCATTTAGTGAACGGTTGACGGCTTCAAAACAATACTTGTACTGTATTGGCACTTCATCTCAAATAATAACATTAATCTTGCGGCTCTACGTGCTGTTCTTCGTTCTCTCTCTAGTTGCTATACAATTTGTTAGAGCAAAGTATAACTGTCACCCGGAAAGATTCAACAATACATACCAAACATGTACGACATGATTTACTTGGTTCTCCTTGATTATCCTGATCGTAATCTTCAAGAGGTTTCTCCCGTTTGCATTTACGGCACGTTATGGAATTCATTGTTGTTTTTCGTTGATCAGAATTGTTTTAAAAGATGGTGGGATGGGGGGGGGGGGGCAGTCCCTATTTATAGTATTCCAACATTTTGTTTTAATTGAATGGGCCCAGCTGTTGACCGGGTGTTGACCGGCCCGGGTGTTGATCCGGGTGTTGACCGGCCTGACTGGGGCGGATTGGTTGCCACACAGAGGTCAGGGTTAGGGTTATGGGCCGGCGTGCCAGCGGGGAACCGCATCAAAGATACATGTACCAAAGTACTCCTTAAAGTGTATTCCAGTAGGTACAGTATAGAAGATAGTAGATAGCACATTTATTTATTAAAATATAATTTAATTATTAAAATATAATTTAATTATTAAGATATAATTTAATACTCCTACATTTTGTTTTGATTGACTGGGCATTGGCCGCTGTTGGTTGACCACGGGCGATTTGGTGGGGCGGATTGGTTGCCACGCAGATATCAGGGTCAGGGTTCAACCGAGCGCGAAACTGCTCTATCGTAGTACATATTAGATTCACGAATACTGGTCCGAAATCTTCTTGCAACCGGATCAGGAGACTGCAAAAGATATTGTAAATACGGAGGTGGTGCTTGCAAAGGTAACAGCTGAACATCTCCCTTTTTACAACAAATTTCAAAACGTGGCTTTATCTTTGAACTTGCTGCAATTCGCTCATCAATCCAATGCAAAGCTGAACAGGACTCGCAAACGATCGTCATTGAGCCCATATTCAATTCTTTCCATTGTAAACGGGAACTGAGAAATGCGCAAGGAAAGGCAGAACGTATTCCTTGTCTTACAGCTCTGGGTGGGGATAGCTATCAACAGAAGTTGTAAGCATTTATAAGATGCAATTCTTAAGTATTATAGTACATACCTCCAATGTTTCTACTGTTTGCCCGGCTCGCAAAGAAGCACGTCTTTATCTCATCTCCGCTTGTCTTCTCTGCAAATTGTCAAATAATGTTTCTATTGGTTGTTGCAGAGATACATACCAAACAATCTCTACATGATCTCAAAAGAGAACCGCGGCGGTTTCTATCATATTCCGCAATGGCTTTATCATGCTTGCATTGGGAGCATTTAGCAGTAGACATGATTGTGAGGTATGGATGCTTTTTGTTAAGATAATTGAATTGAAAGATGGTGGGGAATGAAATTTGTGGTCAAGAAGGTGTAGTTACCCATCCCTTGAAAACCGGGTTTTTTTTTCTTTGGTTACCCTACCTCCCCAACCTGTTCCCATCCCATAAAAATACTATTGTTACCGCACCTCTGCACCCCTGTCACCAACCCCTGTCCAATTCCGAAAACGGCTTAGCTTCTTATTTTTGAGAAACACTGTATTGTAGTACTATATAGATTACATAATGCAGGTACATGTACTAGTACATACACTTACATACATTAATTCCGACTAAGCCATGTAAAAGAAGTACAATATGGCAACTAAATCGTTGGGCTCTCTAGCTACAAGTATACATACACGTATATGTAGATACATAGAAGAGATGCATAATCAAATAATTGAAGATGAATAATAATCCGGCCATCTCTTGTGTTACTGTTTATCGTACTCTACTTATACTTCTAGGTCTGTCTCAGTTCGGTGCCCCACTTTGAAATCGATTAGATCATTTCTAGACGCCTTCGAGTTGGCAGCTTGAGATATCTACACAAGTATGTATGTGAACTATACGGAGATCAAGGAGCATCCCCATATCCACCTATTTGTGTCTGCATGTAGTTAGATTCATGATGCTGGACTTCCACTTGTGGAAACCCCCGAACATATGGATCGGCCCCTTTTCGAGCCGTCCTTCTGGGTTCTTTGCACTTCAGGTTCGCGCTGACATACTCTGAAGGGCCCAGGCCTTCGCTTCATGTGACGCTGTGATAGGCTCTCGCAGCTTTCGAACTAAAGTAAACAGTGTACATGTAAGTACATGTAGGTGTTATACATGTACAGTTTCCGGTAGAATTATTGCGAAAGCCAGAGCTAAAAGAGTGGATCCTGTTGGCCTGTGCTCGTAGCAAAAATCTTTTAAGGGCCAATAGGACTATCGGGTCACGGAGAACCCACTTTCGCAATAATTCTACCGGAATCTGTAGTGAGGAGTGAGGTACTACATGTAGTGAGGTACTACATGTAGTGAGGTACTACATGTAGGTTCGGTCTAATCAGTATGTTTGCCCTTGTGAACCTGCATAACATGTAGAGTACCCACATGTATATATATATTCTACAAGTGTAGTGCGACCCCCGGCCGCAAACATCCCAAAGTCGACCACCTACCCACACACAGACCCGCAGACCCGCCAAGGCCTAAGAGAGTGAAATAATACAATCTATCTACGTAGTCAATTGTCTATGATATATATCAATTCCTATCTTCTCAATAAAGGGCTCTTAATATTAAAATATACATATAGCTTATAAAAAGATTTTCGATATCAAACCTCTTCACTTCCGGGTCGGGAGCAGTTCTTTGTGGTATATATGCAGACGATTCAACCAATCAGAAACGTTCCTGACCACGCCGATGAAGACTATTGTTTACAAGCGGAGTGCGGCCTCCGGCCGCCCAAATGTGGTGAGGAAATGAAGGTGCGGGCGGTACTGCGATATATCGATAGTAATTTCTTAGATTATTGCTGTTGTTCTAGATTATCGGGTCATCCAAACGACGTACAGGCACGCACTAAACGATCATCTCCATCTCTCCTTATAGGTAATCTGTGACTTATTAGCTCTAGTATGCACTCTAAGTCATTCAATGAGTAGCTTTAGTATGTACATGTATGGTGCACACACTCTTAAAGGTGACACGGCAGGATTTGGAAGTGGAACAATTGTGGCTGCAAGGTGAGTTTTAGGCCAATCAGAAGGCCTATTTCTAGCATTCCTGCTTTATTCCTGCCACAATTCGCTTTTAGGGGGTATAAATGGTATAATACTGTTCCACTTGACTCAGTCTTAGCGCTTTTTACATACAAAAATGCGGAATTTCAAACTCCTAAGGCTTCACAACTAGAATAGATATCAAAAATCTGGTCATACAAGTTAAATTTTATCACTAGTACTACAATCTGTATGACCCGATTTTTTCTAACTTTTTTTGTTGAAAAGCCTTAGGCAATCGACTTTGCCTCATTTTTCGGTTATCTTTAAGAGCGGGCGCACCATAGTTCATGATAAAATGCTATCAGGGAAATTCGACCTTGATATATAAAAATATGGCTGTAGTTCTGTCAGTGTTTGTTCATTTATATCCATAAATTGCAATAGCTACATGCCTTTTAATGCCAGTTCCCTTCCATCTCGGGAGTAGTTCATTGTATATATACTTGGGTAATGATATGCAACCAATATTAGAAATAGTACACAACCAATAGAAAACGTTCCTGGTGACGATGAGGAAGACTATATAGTTTAGAAAAATAAAGGGGTAGAGTAGGTACAGTCGCTCACCGGTACTCGACGAATTCTGCTAGTTGACGACAATTCTGGTAAGATATCCAAGTTTCATTGATTTCTATTGGCCTATAGTAAACTCCCTGTTCGTCAATTGGTAATGTTCAAGTGATGGTATTTACATACAACTTGGTGGGTTAAATACACTGGGATAAAGCTTGTCTTGGGGGTTAAGAGATGGACTTGATTTTTCCGCTATCATTCATTTACTTTCATAATGACACCGGAGTGACAAATAGACTCCAAATTATAAGTACATAAACAGATGTGTAAAAACGAGCACAAATTGTTTTAGAGACAAACAAATGTTCACCGAAACTAAAAAACTCCGTTGGACATTCCCAGTTTATCGATCTCCTCGACCAAGCAGTTTCTCTCTATCTCCGACTCTACGCCCCTCATCAACACCATGAGCCTCTTCGTCATCATAGTCTCGAGCATTGTCATAGCCTTTTTCATCACTGTCGCTAAAAAGTTCTTCCTCGTCATCCGAAGCTCCAAATGCATCGTAAAGATCTCTTGCCTTACGCCTACCGCCGGCCGTGGCGCCACGGCCATGTTCTCCTGGGCCGGTACCTTCAAGCTCGTCTTCATCGTTCAAAACCGCAAACTCGTAATCCATCCCATCTTTACTAGCCCTTTGTTTCTTTCGTTGAATGAAGAGATAAGAAGCGACAACTCCAACAAAGACGGCAATAACCGCAAATGCACCGTAGATCCATACTTGAGTCTTTGCTGACATACCGAATGTTGGAAGAAATGAAGGAAGGTAGCTTGCATTTTGGTTATCACCTTCATCATCAACTGCTTCACCTTCAGATGGAACATTTGTTGCCGTTGCAGGTGATTCTATGGAAATTGTCAATTTTATCTGTTCGTAATACGGGCAAGAAGATTAAACAGACCTGTTACTGTAGCAGTGGGGGTATCTTCGTTACCAGGCTTTTCGTTAACAGGGCGAGTCACATGATCAGTTGGATTCCCAGTAGGCACGGCGGGAGTTGTTGGCGTGCTGGTTGGTAGTTGGGTGGTCTTTACGTCGGGTGTTAGAGTAGATATTGGGCTAGACATCCCGTCGTTATCCTCTGCTTCATTAACGCCCGGCAGTGGTAACAATTTGGCCTTGGCTGCATCGATTGCTTCTCCCCACAAGGTAATCCTCCAATCAACCAAAGTCCCAGTGACATCGTTTTCCATGCCATCCTTGATAATGACAGTCCAGGTTCCAACACCATCCTCACCCCTAGTCGACCGATAAATTAGGTTTATGTTAAATAGTAAAGATGCCGCCCAATAGTTTCGTGGAAGTTTAGAGATAAATTTAAGATTACGATTTGAACATACCAATGCTTAACACTCATAAAAGTCCAATCTTTATATCCTTCTTTGCTTTTGTCAAATTTTCTCTGTGTGGCTATGTGACTAACAAGTCCACTAGGAGAAATTAAATCAACGCTCATCTCCCCCCTTCTGCCATGCTTAGCATTCATCGTCACTGTTACGTGCTCAAGTCTTTCAAGATTGGCCTTCTTGAGATCGTCTGCGGTTATTTTGATCTCAGTTTGCAAGCCCTTTTGGCCCTCGGGGATGGCATGGTTGACAGCCAACACCGGTGATTTAAACCATGCCTGAGGTTTTACAGATTTGAAGTCTTTCGCAGCTTGGACAATCGCCCAAGCATCAAGCTTTCCATACCCGTATTTATGATTGAATTGTTTGCCGATGACAGTTGTTTCCCAATCAGGGTCTTCTGTGTTAACAGGGACAGCAGTGTCTAGCACAAGATACTGGAGATCTCGCCACGAAAGATCAGGGCGCACAGACAATACCAACGCAAATATTCCTGCGGCCAGAGGAGCCGCTGCGGATGTACCCCCATGGTTTGCATAACAAGCGTTGACTCCTACATCGGTAGTATGCTATTGAGATTATTAGCGTTCAGAAGTGAGACTGTCCATAGCGCAGCATACTTACAATTGCATCGCCACTTCCGCTACTGTATGTCACGACCATCTGTGCTGAGCATAACTCGGAGTAATACGGGTGCTTGCCAGTTCTGTCAATGGCCCCAGTGGTTATGCTGTAGATACTGTTCGTGTAACCATCGAAATTGCAATTGTCTTCATTGGCTGCGCCATTTCCGGACGCAAAAACGAAGATAGAGCCCTTGCCCTGTCTCCCACTCTGAACCCCCTTTATCATCGCTCGCCTAATCAGTATTCCAGGGGCGTCCATCGCTTGCCCGTCGTCTGGAGGACCCCAACTGCATGAGTAGATTTGGTTGTCTTGGTAGGCGTAATTCATCGCGACAGCTTCATCAACATCAGATATCTGCTTTGACAGTATACGGATCCCAGCCACCTTGGCATCCCACGCAACACCGACACCACAGACATTGTTCTTCACTGCAGCTATTTCCCCAGCGCATCTCGTTCCGTGACGATCATCTGACAGACGAGGTTTAGGCTCGGCCGTGTGATCGTTAAAGTCATAGGAGCCAGGCGCAAACTACTCATACATTAAAAATGGTACGCGATTGTGGGAAGGATAATCTTACATAGTTTGCTTTGAGATCTTCGCTATACATGTCCAACCCGTCATCTACAATCGCTACTGTTGCGTTTATACCAGTGATACCTGTATCGACTTAGCCTTCTACATGCTTTAAACAAAATTCGTTGTAATACCTTCCATCCATACCCCAGTGACATTAACGTCGTGACCATATTCACGGGAATTATGCTGGGCTAACGTCAGCGTTTTGTCTATAGTCTACTATGTCAGGGCGCACCTACAAGATGCCACTGCTCAAGGAAAATGGGGTCCTTAATGTCCAACGCTTTCACCACCTCCTGAATATTCAGGCCACCGGAGGTGGAACCAGCTTCTTCCTCGCTTTGGCGAGTTTCGAGATTCGGTTCCTGATGCCGGGGAGGAATCGACGAGCGCTTTACAAGCCTCTTTAATTTTTGTTTCTCTGCAAATAAAATGGTGTCTGAGGCATCCCTCTTTGTAATAGTACCCGACCCAGAATCTCTCTTTCCCAATCGCCGACGTCTTTCGAGATAAACTGAGACAATATCATCTTTTCCGCGTGGCGCAGAAAATAGGTGATGATCATCAAGCTCCCCAATTAAACCCTCATGCTCTAGCCCAACCTGTTCGGCGATGTCATTTGGTGATATATCTGGTGTTAGGTGCAGCGCGTAATAATCCCGAGAATCATAATCCCGAGGCTTCAAGTGTAATTTTTTGGCTGTCCCAAGTCCAAGGTTGGTGAGCAGAATGGCGAGTCCAATGTAGGTAGCATCGAAGTACATCGCGGTGTCGGCGGCCGCTGTGGCCGGGTATAGTTCTTAACGGAATCAGGTAGGTTATTGGGCACCGTGTGGACCCAGAGAAACGAAGGTACCGAAGAAAATATACGGAACAAAGCACTCTTGATAGACTCAAGGCTGATGTTGTTCCGACGCAATGTGAGCGATGCGAGGGTATGGCCGAGTCCAGAAAGGGGCTAGATGTCGACAGGCTTAGCTTCTTAGTACTTTGAGTATGTAGGTTGGTATGATTTTTTGTTGAAACGTACAGGTGCTTAAAGGCCGGCTTCGGGCAAATTTGGTATTTGGTTCTGATTCTGGAAGACTTGAGGTGGGAAGACGAGGTAACTATAGGTATTGGTAAAACACCTACCATACTAAATGCGACAAAGAACCCGTGGCAGTATGTAATATTAGGTGAGGCGCAGCAGTTTTGTGGCTGTTTGTGATCAGCACATGGGTTCTTAACCAGCAGCAATATCAACTAATCCTCGTTCTGAGCTAACCTACGTACATGTACTTGTATGTACTACTATGATAGTACAGTGACAGAAACATGGATAAAATGACTACCACAGTCTTTGGCAATGCCGTACCACTGCGGTAACACTACCGTTTACTTCGTCAAAATACGGAGATAAAGCGGCATATTCTCGCAATGCCGCACTGATGCGGTATCAGTTTTACCCCCACTTCTGATACTGTAGGGCTGTCTACATGTACATGTACTCTAGGTACATGTATTCCCCTCTACCTTACTTCAATAAACATACATGTACGTGATAATTCTGTGGGTCTCTAACACCATGCGTGCACCATTACCAGGCTACAGTACGATAGAGTAAGAAATGTACACAGATATTAACTTAGGGAGCGAATGTGAGACTACAAATACCTTTACAAACCATCAACTACAGTAGCCTTATTCAGTATACTTCAAACTATCCCAACCGCAGAAGACGTTCGGAATCTTCAATATTCTTCATAGGTCAAATCGGTGTCATTCTATAATAGCTTTCGTTTCCCTAGCTGTCTAAGAATACAACAGCCATTTCGGCAGGGTTCAATTATTAGAGCGTATTTACTAACCGTCAATTCTGCCAATTGGCGCTTCGTCACTCTCCAAAGCGGCATCCACAAGTGTCATTTTGCGGCTTGCGCATTTCATATCCTTATGGAGGGGAAGTGTCAATTTTGCATTTTGCAACCGTCAATTTCGAAGTGTCAATTGTCAAAAATGACACTTAGTAAATACGCTCTAATGTCGACATGAAGCTTAATGTGACACCACGACCTACTATTGAACTTGAAATGTATGTATACATGTAGCTATCTCGTCAGACCGACCTCTCGGGGGTACTTGTTGTACTCTTGCCATGGTCATATGTAATAAATTTCATGTACAAAAGCACATGTATCCCTCAATTTCGTTTCTGTACATTAGAGCGTATTTACTAAGTGTCATTTTTGACAATTGACACTTCGAAATTGACGGTTGCAAAATGTAAAATTGACACTTCCCCTCCATAAGGATATGAAATGCGCAAGCCGCAAAATGACACTTGTGGATGCCGCTTTGGAGAGTGACGAAGCGCCAATTGGCAGAATTGACGGTTAGTAAATACATACGCTTAGCACAATACATACATGTACATACATGTGACAAATCAGTCCCCCCTCCTCCTCCTACCTACCCTTTCGACCTCGCCAGTGCAGCGCACATCTTTTTAAGGGGTACATACGTACTACATGTATTTGTGCATTGCTGTACCATATCTGATGTGAGGGTATCTCTATGCTCTGTTCTATATACATATATCATCTAGAGGTGTCGTTAGTCGATGTAGAAGTTGAAACTACTTTTTACAATAGCTCTCTTTGGCCAGCTTCGGAAATGGGTAATTACATGCACCTACATGGTATTTACATACAACAATCAGACGAAACAGTCAACCAACCAGCATTTAGGGAATAATTTTTTGTATGCAGGTACATTATCGATAAGAGTGGGTGGCAAGCGCAAAGGCCCAGCTGTGGCTTCTTCACCCCTATCGGTTAAAGCATGCATAAAGGCCGATGTCCCAAGCAGATTTACGGTTTCAGCTCAAGATGCCAGAAGCTTGCCTTATTGACCTAAACCCGCCGGCTGTTATTCGCTTCCCTCTTCACTTAAACATACTCTTACTGCTTGTCCTTGCTTGCAATTTAGTCCGTTTACTGAAAGCTAGTCCGACCTGCTCATCATTCTAAAAGAAAAAGAACATCCACCTGTCGCGCTGGCTGACCGAAAGGAATCCCGCGTAGCGCAGGATATGGCCAATGTTTACTTGTCGTCGCAGAGTTATCCACCTGAGTCTTCCGAAGTGATCAGAGCTAATTTAATGCCATTCTCAGCAATATCACCAGCTTCCCATTCCAATTCTTTGCGAAAGCCATCTGACGCGACTTCTACTCGCTCAATCGGCTTTGCCTCTGACCGTTCTCCACTGCAGAATCTCGAGCTTGAACTGAAGCATATCAGCAAGGAAGAGTTCGACGCACCTGGAGTTGGGCGTTCCCTCAGTAAAAGGCAGGAAGAGCGACTTCAACGAAGTACTACTATCACGTCAAGGCTCACTGCCAGCCCTCCTGTTCCTTCGCCAATTAATACATATCCCATTGGGGATGAAGGTCATCAACACCGAAGTCACAGGATGGCCCAGTTATTAGGAAGTAGCCCCTCCGAAGTTAAAAGTGAAGATGGTCGTCGCAGTTCACCCCCTAATGCCGATGCACTGGAGAAGCCCCAATCAGTCACAAAGCTTTCCCCTGCTCAAATCTCTGGCCGTGACCGAATTGGGCGAAGGTCTTACCAAGGATATCGATTCCAGCATATAAGGCGAACAAGCAGCAGCGGGACTAAAAGTAATAAAGGTGATCATACTCGAATCACACGAGCGGCTGGGGGGAAAGATGTCTTTGATGTTAAGGTGGCTCATTTGACTATCGAGGATCGAGAGTTTGATTATCAGTCCCTAAACGGAGGGGATGCTACTAAAGATGACGGTATGAGGATTTTCTATAAGAAGACGTCATAATCATTATTGAATATACCCCTCTCGATACTTGATACCCAGCTGTTTCGCCTCCTTTCTCTTTTGATTTCAATATGCTAAGAAATTCAAAAGCACCTAGAGCTGGAAATGCTTCTCATAATGATTCTCGTGATTTTTTTACTGCTGAAAATATCACCGATAACCAAATATCTGAACCCAAAAACATCCCTGCTAAGCCTATCTTATCTGTCAACTCCTTCCGCCCTGTGACCGTTATAGAGCCTACGCGTATGGCTCGAACTAAAGAAGAAAAAAAAGATGAGTTGATATTCTCATTTATCGCGGCTATAAAACCTCGTGCAACCCCTGCGCCTACAACATACTCACCTCCACTTCATGTCAAATGTGGGCCGTTGCTGCGGTATACGGGGTTACGTAGAGATGGGAAACAATCAAACGAATCCACCGCGAAAGATGAGAGGGAGACATGGCGTGGATCAGTCATGATTGTTACCACGGATGATCGGTCCGATTATACTACAATTCCACGCATCCGATTATTTGTGCAGCCAGCACTCAGTTCGGCCATGACAGATACTAATAATCGCACGGAAACCACAAACACTTCAACCGCTGACACAGAAGACTTGAATAATGTAAGATCTGCCAACAAAAACACTCCCTAGAGTATCTTTACGTAACCCCTGATGAATGTGTATTGATGAAGCTTTAGAACCCAAAAAATAGAAAACACAGCGAAATATTAGGCAAATATAGGGAGGTCGAAGGCACCAAATTACATTCGGAAAGGGGTATTACCTTCTGGAGATTTACCATTGAGGTAGAATTGGGTGATGAACAAGCAAAAATTGCATACCGCATCAATCATGGCCCTGTGAACTCTTTTTGGGTTCCATCGAGGACAGAGACTATGAATATCATGTTTTACAGCTGCAACGGTTTTAGTTTAAGCGTTAACCCCGATGATTTCTGCGGCCCAGATCCTTTGTGGAGGGATGTTATACGCGAACATGAGAAGAAACCTTTTCATGTCATGCTTGGTGGTGGTGATCAACGTAGGTTCCTGTGAGCAGATAATAAAATTTGAGTTTACGTTGACACATGAAAGCACAGTTTATAATGATGCAGTCACCAAGAAAACGAAGCTCTTCAAAGAGTGGCTCTCTATCAAAAACCCGATTCATAAAAATCACAGTGCGTTTACTGATTCTATGGCTGATGAACTTGAAGAATTTTATTTGGAAAGATATTGTGAGTCCTCTGTGGAATATATTATATTGGGAAGATTCTTGACACTAATTGCTTTTTTGTAGGCATGTGGTTCTCTCAGGGGCTTTTTGGGGTTGCAAATGCTCAAATTCCCATGATAAACATCTGGGATGACCATGATATAATTGATGGATTTGGCTCTTATCCTGACCACTTCAATCGCTGTCCCGTATTTAAAGGACTAGGCGCAGTAGCTTTCAAGTACTACCTTTTATTTCAACACCAAAGCATTGTAGATGAGCTAGAGGGAAATGAGCCTAGCTGGTTGCTAGGTGCTGCTCCGGGTCCGTACATCGCTGAACTGAGCAGAAGCTGTTTCATGTTTCTTGGAAGGAAAGTTGCGTTCTTAGGCTTGGATTGTAGAACTGAGAGAATGGTGGGCACTCTATCTTATGCGGACTGTTTTGGGCATAATTGACACTTTTTCCAGAGAGACCTTGTTCTATCCGAGAACACCTATAATAGGGTGTTTGACCGACTCGAAAAAGAAATCATCCGAGGAGAAACAAAACATCTGATTGTGCTCTTAGGAATTCCTATTGCATACCCTAGACTTGTCTGGCTCGAAAATCTGTATGCAATCATTGAAATGGCACGCAACCCACGCTAACGATTTACTAGCATGACTTCACGACTTATGGACCCTTTGAAAGTGCTAGGCCGTATGGGATATCTTGGTGGTTTTCTTAATAATTTTGATGGTCCTTATCTCCCTTAAACATTAGTTAAATGAAGCTAACCCTATATAGGAGGCGTCGAACTTTTGGATGATCTCGATGACCACTGGACGGCCAAGAACCACAAGGTCGAAAGAAATTGGGTCAGTCTCCTTTCCATTATTCGAAAAACCATACTCATGATGGTGTTTAGTTCATTGAGAAACTGCAACACCTTGCAGCAGAGAAATCAGTTCGAGTCACAATTCTCGGGTAGCCCCTTCCAAATCATCCAGGCTGGTTGTTTGATCTAACATATAACAGGGGGGATGTTCATCTTGCTGGGATTGGCCAATTTTATTCAAACCATCGATTAAGCATCCTTCGTGAAAACGATCATCGATACATGCCAAACATCATTTCCTCGGCAATTGTGAATACCCCACCCCCAAACGGTTAGTGCAATGTAATATTTCCTGATTGGCGATCACTTTCTGATATGTTATTAGCTATGGCCGATGTTCTCAACAAGAGAAATAAAATTCATCACTTGAATAACCATACAGACGAGGACATGTACCCAATCTTTGACACTGATGTCGACGGGAAACCCCGAAATAACAAACGACTCCTACCAAGTATGTAATGAAATAATGAAATATTTGCTGTATGTATTGCCAAACGCTGACCCCCGAACCCCCAGGGAGAAATTACGCCGTGATCAGAGAATACGTTGAAGACGGCAGTATTTCCGATGAAACGAAGCCCACCAAACGTTCAACCTTTTCCAAACTTAGGAAGAACACATTCAAAAAATCACAAAAGGCTGACCCAGACGTCAACGTTAATCTTGTTGGGTTAAATCGAGAGAATAGTGATAGAGGCCAGAAGGAGATTATGGAAACAAAGACCGATGCCTTAGATGTCATCTTGAGGATGGAGATAAATCAAAAGGATCCGTCTGGACATACAAAGCCTTACAGGTTAATTGTGCCTATCCTTAAGTATGAAAGGCCGTTTACCGATTCTGGTGTTCAGAACGATGGTAATGGTGGCTGGATTTGAACGGATGTTGCTTCGATGCTATTAGGATAATAGCCGTTGCCTTTCGTGGATTTATTGGTATTTTAACAAGCAAAAATTGCAAGTCTAAAGGATCGGTTCTCATACATTTTATTCTTTTACTAATTTATGTATATCTTTAACTATATTTACCATTTGATAGTCATACACAGTCTGCTACAGTTTTCCGTAATCTGTCTTTTCTATATGATCCATAAAACTATATGTGCGGATCTTAAGGTCTGTGCAATTGGATGCGGTAATTACATACATGTATTCTTGGTTTTATTTTCAATTGATGAAGCAAAACTAAGTATTACCTAGATATAGAGGTATTCAGTAAGCTTCACCTCGCTCAAACTACCACTGCCACCACCGTGCATTCAGGCAATTCCTTTATGCACTCTTTGCCGATAAATAGGGAAATAATAGGAATGGATTTATTTATTATATTATAATATATACCACTAGGGATACACCGGGGGATAACACCTGGGGCTTTCTAAAACTCGTTTCTATCTTCTAGAGCCTATATACCCGGAGCCTATCGGCCCCCTTAGCTTCTCTCTTGAGCCTTGGTACCATTTTCCCCTTTATCATATTTAGACTCCATTTAACGCTGAGGGCGCCGAGTCTGGGTTATAATTAGAGGTATATGCTCTGGTCAGTTGACGAAAATTACCAATCCACGATCGAACTGGTCCAATCTCGAACATTCCAGGATAAACTGGAGGGAAGGTTTTCATCAATTGACTGTCTTTCCATGAATATTAGTGAGATGATTTAGGAGTCAACGCTTTTAAATATAGTTAGAGGTAATAGGACCACAGCTAATTCAGTATTTGTCAGAGGACATGCATGCTAATCTTGAAAAAAGTAAAAAATTATCACACGATGATGTAGAGTAGTAATGCAGTAGTCCCACGCCAGGCTGTAAAGGGACTTACTGTTGGAAGTCGGCTGGTGGGAGTTAAGGGCTTGGGGGTGTACCTATTTGAGCATTTGACGTGTAATCTCTTTGGGAAATCCGCTCAGAGTCTGAGAAATTAGTAATGCAGTATAGACGTATGGTTAGTAATGAGAGAATACGGTGGGAGGGTTAAAAAGAACAGTCAGGAATATTGATCAAAGAGAGTTGAGATCGAGGAGGACGTAAGCCTTGCCCTTGCGAGGGACGCAACAGCATTGTCTCGACGGGTTATAAAAGAGTAGATACCACGTTCATTTGAGTTCCAGGCAGTCAAAACTTTAGCCCACTCCCGAATATTTGTAGGCGGACCGTCAATCGGAGAATACGCCATTATTAAGTGTCCAGTCTATCATGGAATATTCCAGGATAGACCGGTCTTCCCACGATAGTCAATTATATCTTCGTGATCAGACCAGAGCAAATACCATCGAAACTATTTCGAACATATTATGTATTTTATACTAAGTGTTGGTCCTTGTCCCTGCTAAAAACTGATCACCCCTCTGCGCAGAGAGTGGGCTGAGAGTCGTTCCTTTGTGAGGGTTCACTACCTCCATCTCCCTTAACTCTTTCGGCCGGACGTTGCCAGCCGTATCCCTTCCGCAGACTCTGGGATGTAGGGAAATGGGTAGGTTTTCGTCAGTACCCGTCATTTACAAAATAATCTCCGCCCTTTTTATATTATAGGAGATGCATATAGATGTAATTGACTAAACTCGCTCAGAAAACCAGGTTAGTAGCGATCTAAATTTATACATACATATATATATACATCTAGTCCCATACATGTAGCTAGCCGCAAGCTAGGTCATCTTCGCTTCTCTGCTCAATGGTTATCACAGCATCTCAAGGTTCTTAAGATGACATTCCACTTTGTTTATGCGTTTTTGTGTTAGTGTTGCTCTAGCCACGTTTGTTAGAGCGTTGTCATCCTAGAGTTTGGAAGTATTTACTAACCATACTGGATACCAATGATTAACTTTCTTAACAACATGTTGGTCCTAGGCTTTCGCTAAACCTCTCAGAAGTGAAAAAGAATTAATGAAAAAGTACCGCTAGGATAGGAGGGTTAATAAACGAATAAAGGTTTAATTAATCTGTAATCCTTTCCGGCCGTATTTATTTTACTGTGATCACGAACCCCCACCTCCGATAAGAGGAACCCGCCCTTGCTGCCGCTGTCTGAAACCCACCTATCATGAAAGGAAAGAAAAGTGGACGGCCCTAGATGGAAAGAGGCGGTCAAGGCCTGCACCTCCAGTTACTGAAGTGTTCATGATGTGGAATCGCTGGCCATAACGTTCTCACCTACCAGCAGCTCCCTCTTAGTAGGCACATAGTTGTATGCAAGGACTCAACCGCAGAGCTAGAGTAGCAATAAACCAACCCGCCGGAAAGGATTAAATGTGTGTACAATCCCAAGGGTGGATTAAACCCGGGGGTATTCTACACCCAATCCTTATCCGTAAAGGGTAGATTAAACCTTTACCCTTAAGAACCCGATTTCTTGGCGCAAATCATCCTAGGTTTGAACCCACAGATACAGTATCTCTTGTATACTGAAAATGAGAATAAGAGGCACGGAGAAAGGATTATTGTAGATTGCCATTTATCGACCTCACTTTACTAAGCATTCAAACCCTACTTCTAACCAACAAAAATAAATACTGTCCTCATGCAGAAGAATGCAGTTCATATACCATAGACTAGTTCGTTCAGGGACAGTTCTAATGGCATGCAACAGACTTTGTGGCCGAGGCACCACCCCAGATGGTGTATCCCAGGGAAGCTCCCACAGCCACTGCGATCATCACCCATCCGTTGTAAGTCATAAATAAAAGCCTTGAGAGGGGGTTTAATCAGCGATCTGTGCAGATTTACTTTATTCGAACTCTTTAGAGAGACTCACATTATGAAAAACGAATAAAAAACCTGAATACCGTAAAAAATCGCTTTTCCAATATGACCTCTCTTCGATGCAGATGTTATGTTCCTCCCTGGTAGCAATGAGCTCGATTCATCTTCAAAAGTCAGAGGCATAACCGTGACGTTCAATGCTTATGGTTTGAGTTTGGAAAATTACGTACCAGATGTGCTAAGACTCGCGTTTTCGGCGTCAACGCGTGCCTCGTAACGACGAGAGATCTCGCGGACAAACTCATATCCGGCTGAGAGTGCAACCACACCGAGAAGGGAGAGAATTAAAGTAAAAGTATTCGAGACGTGCCACCAGCGGAAAACCTGTCGATACATTAAGGACTTTACAGACTTTTAAACGAGGATTTTCATACTGATAAACTTACCAAGCAAAGGTTCTCGGTATTCCAGGTGAATAGCATACTCATTTGACAGCGATAATTTGAAGCCATCATATCATGCCCACTCATATCGTGTTCTGCCATCATATGATCCATTTTCTGATAATATTTGGTTTTTTTTTGTTGAGTTGTTAGTTAAGTTATACGGATAACTATTATGGTTTGGGGCAGAGCTAGAGGGGGATAAATATCGTGATGGAAGCTTGCGTACGACGACTCACGCTCAATGTGACATGTGAAACATGCGCTCGAACTAATATAAGGCCGGGTAAGTACACATGTAGAGTATTCGATTGCCTGTGTGTCACTGATATTTGTGCTCTATTTTGCTCAAATACCCTCAATTGCTCAATTGGTGGTTTCCATGTAGGTACACCACAGTACGATTAGGTGCACTGCTTAAATATTTTGTAGATGAGATGAATGTAGCTCGTGATTTAGTAAGTACCCACCCGCCGGCTAGCTGCTAGATGCGGCTCCGCTGACGTTACAGGGTTGCAATGAGGAGTGGGATGCACAGCATCAGCTCAGTATCATAGCCTGAGGCATTTGTTCAATATATATCTCCCAAAACTCCAGAATTATAAGACCATGCCGCTTTCACAGCCCTTGAACATCCCCAAATGGTCAGTTCGTGTCTATGTTTTGTTTTTCGGGTGTTCTGCTATTAATCATAGCATATAGGCTCAGGGAGAACAGCCACCTACTACAACCCCCAATTAACAACTATTGTGTTTACGATGAACATATGACCGTCATGGTCAGTCTCTGTGTGTTTCAAGTTAATGTTTGTTACTCACTAGCAAAAGATTGTCGGAGGACCAAATGCCCGTAATGATTATCACATCAATGAGACTCCAGAATGGTTCTACCAATATAAGGGCGCGATGTTGTTAAAGGTTGTCGATGAGGGAGAGTTCAAGGATATCGTTATTGATGAAGGGGAGATGTTTCTTCTTCCTCGTAAGTAGCCAATCTCGCTACTATTTCAAATTCCGACAATAGATGGGTTGCTTTTATGATTGGGTTTAAGTACGATGATAACGTTTTATTCTTCCTTCTAATTTTGCCACAGCGAATACACCTCACAATCCCGTCCGGTTTGCAAACACGGTAGCCCCTCTCCCCCATACCCTATTTGGATCGTTTAAGAGCAAATTATTAACATTATATTTAGGTTGGTATCGTCATCGAGCAGAAGCGACCAGCAGAGAGCCTTGATAAACTCCGTTGGTACTGCCCGTCATGCAGTGAGATTGTTCATGAAGCTGCTTTTCACTGCACAAACCTTGGGACGCAGATCAAAGAAGCTGTCAATAAATTTAAGGACAGTGAGGATTTGAGGACTTGCGGGAAATGTGGGTCGATGGCCGCTGTAGCACCTCCAGCGACGACGGTGTAATTCGATAACCGTTGTAATATGTTGATAGAAGGCATGTACCGAAATATAAATACGTCAAGAAGGTGAAGATTTGAAGTTACATACACATATAATCTATATAATGCGGTCGAATCTCCCTATGGGCACGCTCGGGGCCGGGAATTATACTCTTGCGGGGCGTGTACCTGTATAGCAAGTACTTAAAAAAAGCCCAATAAGGGCCAAGGAGTTGTACCTTTACAGGGCGTTCATTCTTTAGCAGATACCCTCGGAGGGATCTGGAGATTCGACTATAGAGTGAAGAATCTGTACTGAAAAGGCTCCGTCCAGAGTTAGATACCCGATACCCCAAAAGATCATTAGCCCCGAGCACTATCAGTGAAGACCCCCTCATGGAAGACAGATAACCCCCTTGCTAGAAACAGTGGAACCCTTGTGATATTCAATATAATACTATTTCGAATTGTAGGTATAGGGCTACGTGACTCTATGGACTCCTCCCTGGCAGGTTTCGTCACAGTTTAGGGTTGGCAAAATATTTAACTACATGTACTTACTTTTGTTTAAAACTTGTTCGAGGTAAGTATTGGCATTGTCCTTACAAAACTACTTTCACCAAATCACTAAAACTCCACTCAAAAATTTCACTGTTTTCCGGTTGCTAGTATAGTTATTAAACTCAATTGTCCTTCTTTGTCTTGAACCAAGCTTAGCGTAGTTTTGATAAATATTCAGACAAGGTCTGGTTCGAGACAAACCGGTCGACAGTTTTAGGCAACTTGTAAGGATTTAGCCAATAAGAGGTTCGGGATATTCTGCCTACTGTAGAGGGGCCAATCACTGATTTTCTCAGCAACGGTCATTTGGGCTTAAAACTAGCTCAATCTATCATTACCGAGAAAATCAGTGACTGAACCGCCGTGGTGACTGGCAGCTTCTTCGCGGTATAATATGCCTTAACGTACTCTACTTAACTCTGCCACTATCATTGAATTACTTATCACACGCTAGATTTATTATTATAGCGCTCTATGTACAGGGTCAATGATCATGAGAGAACGAACAGTAGCGGCGTTTAATAGAGAACGTTAGGCCACATCGCGTTCAGTCACGATTTTGATTTGGACTGCCTGCCTAAGGTACCTACTGACAACTGTCGAAGTACGTACTTGTTCAGAATCAAGCACGACCGGGTAAGACTCATAATACTAAATGAAAATTTGAACCTCATATTTTCTTCAATCTCAATCAACCGTCAGGCATAATGGGCTCAGTCAACAAAGGTCTTCGGCCTTTCCTCACCAGCAAGAGTTTCACCTTATTGCACAGCCTCACTCCTGTAGTTGTGGTCGACCCTAACGTTGTTTCAAACCACTATCATCCTCTCAACCGGAGAGTCCTTGAACGGATCAGGGCCGAAGAAACGAATGAACCTCGATTGATTATCACCGCTCTAGCACCGAAGAAGAACGTTTCAAAGAACGCTGTTGTTCGCAATAAGGCAGTTCGCAGAGTTCGCGAGGCAGTGTATGAGATCCTGAAGGGTAAGGGTTATGGGAGGGAGGGAGAGTTGCTGAGGGTTGCAGAAAAGTATGCTGCGAACGGCCGGGAACGATTGGTGGGCACACTGTCCTTCTCGGTCACAATGGATAGCGTTGTCACTGCGTGGAGTGATCTAAAAGGGGAGATTGGGATTGCTATCGATAAATTTATCGCAATCAGTCAAAAGGTAAAGAGCAAGAGTACTTTACGCCCGAGATTTGGGTTGGAACGCGGACCTGACCCGGGGAGACGGTGGCCCGAATTATCGGGAGAACAAGTCAGGAGTGGCTCAAATCATGGGAAATCACTGGGAGATAAAGACGAGAGGGGTACAAGAGTAGCGCATCAACATCGACAAGGCCCGTACATTGCTGGGGGAAATCGGGCTAGACGACCAGTGAATGTTTTGACAAGTGGGCAAGGCTTGCAACAAAAAGCTGGCTCTGAAATAAATAGGTATGGAGGACGACTGGAAGCAAGAATGATTGCAGTAAAACCGTACCAGAATGGGTTCCGACGGCAAGGAGGTGAAGAGCATCCGCCAGTAGCGGAATTAAGATCACAAAAGTCAAGATTTCCGAATGGAAATCGGGGTCGAGTTGGGCGATCAGCAGGGACGGGGAAGGGAGAATAGAAGAATACGTTTCAAAAAAGGATTTGATGAAGGTTCAGAATTTACATAGATTCAAATAATAGCAAAATAGGAATATGGGAATCATATGGCACTCAGGCGGAAAAAACCATCTAGCTTATCGCCTTCCTTGAACTGCTCGCTACGAGGAAAGCATCTTGAGGGGAGGGCGAAAATAATTCTTCGTACAAGATAAATTTGCTACAAAAGGATTACCGCAGTAACTTAAACCCGACCAGCCCACACACAAAAAAGAAAGAAAAAAACCGGGACATTTGCCCCGCGAAGAACTCCAGCATGTTTCCCTTTTTGACATATGCACGTAGATTTTAGACCAACAGGAAAGACCGCGATCCCGATCTATTTGAATTTTTTTAATGTTCGCATATTACACACAGTACACTCCCATTCGCGCTTTAGATGTTTGAAGGGTACAGCATGATACGGACGGAGGCACCGAAGGATTTGGGGGGGAGATTGTGGCGGAACCTGTAAGAGTAAACATATTATGTTAGCTATCTGTAAACGTGGAAATACTTAATGGAATATCGTACTTGGCGCGAACAACACCGCTGTTTCCATGTGGCCTGGTGACCTTGCCCCAGATGACTCTGATCTTGGTTCCACGGATTTCCTTCGAGGCCCTGTAGACAAAGGCTACCTTCTTTCCTGTAATCCCCATATCTCATCAGTACTCAAGTCAAAGATAGAACCTCGTGTTCTGATATATGCGCCATTGATAACGCACCACAGTAGAAAGTGGCATCCTTCTGATTGTCGGCGCCCTCGATCTTGATGAGGGAAGTGTTAGGGTTGGTGTTGCGCTTGCCCCTCTGGTATGAAAGGTGCTTTCCCTATTGCCCACAATTTGCCATTAGTCGTCTATTCCGTCCCTATGTATCCCGTAGCCATATTCTCAAGAATCCCGTTTATCTCTCCGGACACAATGGCAATGCTGCCCCACGACTCATGCAAGAGCACCCGTCTCTTTAGTTCCCTCTCAATCCCCAACCCGCCAAAACCCTTTCCCACATATCAACTTCATAGTATAATCCGGAAACAATTGAATTATGAGTGTAGAGTGGAATATAAAGGAAGGGTTCGGGATGAAAAGCCAATTACCTTAACGTACACTACGTCGAGTTGGTTAGTGTAATTCTCTTGTATATGCTCGAGGTAAGTGTCAGGATCAAGAACTAGACATACATCGGTGGTTGGATTCAGGCATTTCGTTGCTATAAAATATGTAGCTTCATTAGCCTCTCTTTAACCCTTCAAACCCGTTTCCAACTCAAGTCCGCTCTAGAAAAATGGTCACATACTGAAGAAAATTTGCCGTAGATCAATTATCGGGTTGTTGGCGGAGTTGCTGGGCGGTCGGTCGTTACTGTAGGCTCGATCGTGTGTTGTTGATACTGATTGAGTATTTCGTGATGCACCTTGGGCCGTTCTCGTGTGTGTGTGTTGCCAAGACTAGGGCAAGTGAACATCGTGGCACCGGAGACTTGAATAACAGTCACAACTGCGTAATCGAGGATGCTAGTGCCAAGATTTCGTAGGTTACATAGTTCAAATACCAGCCTCACTTTCACCCCCTTCTTATACCCTAATAGTTGCCCTTGTGTTCTAAAATCCCCTTACCTTTTATCTTCAAGAGTGGCTGTATATATGTCTTACGACCTTTGGTTGCGTAGGGTTAGGGATAATCAAGCCATAGAGTTGAAAACGTATTCTGAGGTCACGTGAGTCTGCGAATGATTTCCCAAACACTGAAATATAAGCGGGTACGAGATCAGAAATAAATATATGCCTGACCTGGGATATTGTAGTCTCTTGCCGATCCCCTTCATTGACTGTGGTTTTTTTAACGCGGAGTATTATTTGCAGTCCAAACCGGTAAAATAACATTCAACTACAATATTGTACCTACATACATACATACTAGGGGTGTGCCAACTCGCGACCGCGAGTTGTACGTTGAATTATAGGTATCAAATAAAATTTAATTCTCCCTCTACAATCATGAGGGGCCTTCGGTCCCATCCTCCTCCTCTCGTGAGTGCTCAGTACTTTGATGTGTCGTGCTGACTAATCAACATCCCTGCACTCAGCAGCCAATCAGACCGTTCCAATATTCGAAAACTTAGCGATAGTACATTATAGACATACCACCAAAAGAAATGCCAAATGGGTCTAGGAACGAGACTACATGTAGGGCTATTAAACAAACACTTTTTCAGTACGATTAGTAGCGTACTGCTGTATCTGACAACCACCAGACAGATCTCACCTTTTGAAATACATGTATAATACCAACCTAACGTACTAGCGAGAATATAAAGTCTGTCCGCTTTGGTACATGTGTGGACAAGAAAGTTTGGTGTCCTACCTACGTACCAAAGCAGACAGACTTTATATTCTCGGTAGTAAATGCAAGCTGTAATATATCTCAATCATGATCAGGTGTTTGATTGTGTGTAATTTTGCCATCTTACAGCCAGCTGAATGCGGCCTTAGTCTCGTAAATACAAAAACTACGGCAACTGCATCTGCATCTGCATACAGTAATAAATTCCTCTCAAAATGTCGAATTCTTATAAAGGAAAGGAAAGGACGAGAGATCGATGTGGCAGTCAGGGTTAGTTCCCCTGGCTGCCATATATCCTACTCCAAACAACTTTTATAGGAGAAACCCCCAGAGCATGCGCTTACTTCATCTGAAAGCAGGAGATACAACGCCGACAATACTTAGAATCCGAACTCCATGTACAACTATGTACATGTACACAGCCCGCCCGCACCACGCCGAGACCTGAGTGTAATGGAACATCGTCAAGGTTGGTAACACAGAGTTCCCATTTACAGCAGTTTTCATAATGCTAGGCCCAGCCGAACAACATAACACACAGAATGATTCTTGAAAAGTTAAGCACGATTACTCTATTAGGCAACTCGAGATACCCGTTTAGGTATCTCAATTTAAGCTTTCAGCAGGATTGCCTAATGAAGCTACGGGAATTACCTAGAGAGGTAATGCCTGAACATTCGCACTGTGTTATGACGCTCCCCTGGGCCTAATATTATGCAAACCGCTGTAATATAGGAGATTGTCCATTTAGAGCATTGTCTATGGTACGGTCCACTAGGAGCAATTGTCTTAATACCATTCCAATTTCCATTCCTTCCCCGTCAACAAATCAGAAATCCAATGGACCGCCTAACCATGAAACGCCAAAGCAAGCACTAATATTTTCAAATATTACTATAAAAGTAAATACGAGTAGAAGACGCCCAAAACCACTCGTTCTGTTGACTTTATAGACGTCTTCTCTCTCTCGAGCTCCCTCCAGAAGCTGTACTCCCGACCCCTCCTCCTCCGGTTGGAATGTCAGTTTTACGCCACTGTTGTTGAATTACCTCCACAACCTTGAGCTCCGCAGCTACAAATTCCCCTGAGGTGAGCTCAAAGACCCTTCGTAGCCTCTCCCGCTCGGATTCGCTGCTCCCATCCACTATAATACCGATTGTGTGTTCATCGCTATCCATCAACGGGGTCTCATCTGGCCTTCGTGCCTCTGATACATTGCTAGAGCGGTTGGAATTCAATGAGGCAAACGAGTGTCGACGTGTCTCTCCTCGCTCTTCGGACTCCAAATCTTGTGCAGGGGTGATATTTCTCTGTCCCTCAGTAATCATATCCGCAGCCTCTTGATCTTGTTTTGAGACCACGAGGCTCAACATAACGATTTGTAAGGATAATATTACAGCGTCCATGAAACCAAGTCTCCATTTTGAGATTGGGCCCTCTGTACAGTCGTCTCAGTCTAAGCAAAACTTCAAACATTTCGACAAGAACAAAGTAGTAGCAAACCTTGTCCGATAAAATCTATAATAAATCCGCCGTGTAAATAGCCATTGCTTAGCTCTCCAGCGCTCGGCGCCGCTCCAAGAATATGGCACAGAAAACAAAATGCTGTACTGCCAAACAGCGCGACAATGGCTGGGCGGCGCTGAGAATGTACAGGAAAATTCGGAGGCTTTGGTGTGAGGAAGTTAAGTTGAATTGCTGAACGGATAACGAATCTAAACAGACTACAACTGTGTTTCTATGAGTTCAGCTCTGCTCCTTGCTTCCTCTTCTGGAAGAAGAAAGGCAGGGGCGGATAATAATTACTCTAAAAAATACAAATACGAGAAATGGCAATAGGCGATCATATCTAAGCTTCTGAGCAGATGATCTAGGAATTCTCCCCGCTTTTGCTTCAGTAGCTTTGAGTAGCGCATATCGTTGCTCTCCCGATTCTCCCCCGGAAGGGTAGCAGCTGGGGGTTGTGGATCTGCGGCATCGCTCATTGAATCATAAGAAGTGAGGGATGGGAGGGGGTGAGTAAACTCGGGGTGGGTGGATTGTTCTTAGAGAAGCAGAGGCGTGAGGGGTACCAGTGATAATACAAAGCAGAGAAGTGAAGAATAGTACCGCTGGTCCTTAAGCGCTGAGTGGTTGAGTGATACACCGTGAATGGCCCAAGGGTCAGGAGAGTTCCGTCGGCTTAGTCAAGAGCAATTAATAGCTTGTGGGTGGGTGACTTGGCGGTGTTTAACGCGCACCGCCTTCGAACGCGTTTCCTTATCCTGTCAGTACCTACTGCATACTCAGCCAGAAAATTCCTAGAGCAAACTATTTCACACTCTTCTTGTTGACCCAAAACTCTTCTCCACAACACCAGCCCCCATGAGTTCCTTCTTTGATGTCGCCGCCCGAAGAGCTGCTGCTGCTACTGCACAGAGCAATGCTATTCCCTCTACAAAATTAAAGGACCCTAGTAGACCTGTTCCCTGGGTCGAAAAATAGCAAGTTATCCATTTCGCAACTCCACCAGAAATATCAAACGCGAAAAGCCATCCTCTAACACTATCCAGTCGCCCCAAAAATCTCAGTGATGTCACTGCCCAGGATCACACAATCACAGTGCTTAAACGTACCCTCCAATCCTCGAATGTCAGTGCCGCGAATATCCCCAAATTCCACTTACATCTAACACTCCACAGCTTCCTCACATGCTCTTCTATGGCCCACCAGGCACAGGAAAGACATCTACGATCCTCGCTCTCGCAAAGGAACTCTATGGCCCAGATCTCATGAAAACTCGTGTCCTTGAACTCAACGCCTCTGACGAGCGTGGTATTTCAATTGTACGTGAAAAAGTCAAAAATTTCGCTCGAATAACCGTCTCAAACGCAACTACATCTCAATCCTCCGCCTACCCGTGCCCTCCCTATAAGATTATTATCTTAGATGAGGCAGATTCCATGACGCAGGATGCACAGTCGGCTCTTCGACGTACAATGGAGACATATTCCAAAATAACCAGGTTCTGTTTAATCTGCAACTATGTCACGAGGATCATCGATCCCCTTGCTTCTAGATGCTCAAAGTTCCGGTTCAAGCCCTTAGACGAAACCAATTCCAGGGAGAGGCTAGAGTTAATTGCAAAAGCCGAGGGTGTGGATTACGAGGATGGTGTTATCGACACACTGATTCGGGTTTCAGATGGTGACTTACGAAAGGCCATCACTTATCTACAGTCGGCGGCACGACTGCATAATCCGATCAAGCATGCAGCGGTGGATAATGATGGAGATGAGGAGATGGGAAACGATGGAATTGTTGTAACAGCCGGTGAACCCGTTACTGTTCGGTCAATTGAGGAGATTGCGGGTGTAATACCAGATGCAACAATCGAAGAGTTGTTAAAGGCATGTGAACCTAAGAAGGGCATCAGCGCATACCCGCAAATATCCAAGTTAGTCCAGGATATCATCGCAGACGGGTGGAGTGCGAGTCAGGTTATATTACAGGTTCGTTTACCCTGAATTATCGGCGGCCGTTTCGAAACCTCTAACTAGAAATGCTTTTGATAGTTGTACAATAAGTTAATCTTCGACGACATTGTAACGGCAGCACAGAAGAACGATATCGTCTTAATCTTCTCCGAAGTTGACAAGCGCCTAGCAGATGGCTCTGATGAGCACTTACAGATCCTTGATTTGGCGCTTAGGATATCTGCAGTATTGTCTAGGTAAGATGACCTCAAGGTGGAAATGATCAAATGAGGGCTGTTGTGAATTTCTTTTTATTGTATCAAGGAATGTGCACGAGATGCTACGACCGCATAATAGTCACTCTTACTTCTTAATTCACTAATCATACCCTGTCGCGTATCCGCCTCCACTGGAGGCGTAGACCTCTATTTTTTTTTTTTTTTTTACAAGCCTTAGACGTGGGCCAATGATAAAATGATCATGAATTTATGACCTGGGCACCGTCATAAGCAGGCTCCAATACCTTCCAGTCACAAGTGATTCCCTCTTGCTTGAACTTTGTCAGAATCTCATTTGCGATGTTCTCAAAGTTTTCGGTGGCCAGCGCCAGTATGGTGGGGCCAGCTCCCGAGAGACAAATCCCAAGGAGACCCGGGTGGGATTGGGGGGTAACTGAAGCCAGGATTCCAGGTAGCCCGGGGATCTAAGCTTTTAGTCTCTAAAACATGGCTAGATATTCAAAAAGAATGAAGACATACCAGCCCTTTACGGTACGGCTGATGTACCTTATCCTGCATGGCTTGGAAGATGAGTTCCGCATCAGGGGGAGACCTGGTCAGCGCTGTGGTAAGTACCGCAAGTCTTTGCAGGTTAAAAATCTATGAAGGTTCAGCATCTGTACCACTCACTTATGCCACCACTCACCAAGAAATTCACTCACCAAATCTGCTCTGCTATAGTTCACTGGCAGCACGCTTCTGGCTGTTGCAGTAGAAACCTCAAATTGAGGGATAATAGCAATTGCCTTGATCTCCCGCGCCCAACCAAACTTTATGTAGTGTCCAATCCCGAGTGGTGGCTCGGGGGGTCTCAATCCCGTATCCACACCTCCAGCAGGCTCCGGCAGAACTTCCGCCAGCGGTATCTCTTTTCGCTCCATGTCCGCAGGGTCGAGTTCCTTTAGATAGCTGCCTACGAATCCACCATACATTGCTGCCATAACGTTGTCTGGATGGCGTTCAATCATCAGGCAATAGTCCATCATTCTATCTTTACTGAGACCGAGTTTGCCAACCGCATTGCCCAGCAGCACACCTGCAACAACGGCCGCACCAGAAGAGCCGAGACCACGACCGAGTGGGATTGGGTTAATGATATGCACATGTGTTTCGCTCGGGAAAGCACGTTTCGAGTGGCATTTCAGGACGTAGAGCGCAGTGCGGGTGATAAGATTGTGCTCTGCATTTAATGGGACGTGATCGGCGCCTTCGCCTTCGTATGTAATTTGGCAATTGACGGGGTGCGAAGAGGTGGTCGTGGCCTTAATGGTGACTTGAAGCTCGAGCCAGATGGAGAGGGATAGGCCAACTACGTCGAAACCGGGACCTAAAAAAGATCAATTTTGGTATACCTTCTCATAGGACTTATTCCTCATAAGAAATCAGGGGACGGATTCCTATTCGTACCAATGTTGGCTGAGGAGCAAGGAACCTCTTTAGAAACACTAGATTTAGCAAACGATTCACACCGTTACAAGTGCAATTAGGTACTCCAGTCAGAGGAAACTCACTGATAGTAATCATATCTCCAGAAACAAAAGAATCTCCTCTAATGTTTGAAAACTTGTGTCGTCACTAAAATGTATGCCTCAATCCCCTTCCTAAATTGTTGGAGGGGTTTATTCTTGTTATGAAGTGGAAGCTCCCGACTTTTTTTTTTGCGGCTTAGTCACTGGACAAGGTGCCCCTTGGCATGTTTGCATGACGATCAGGAACACCCACCACGATCTCACATTTGGTATCCTTCCGCTGTTTTCAAGTTCTGCGCTATGTCTCAGTTTTTGCATGAACAGAGAGGAAGGGATCACTTAACGCCCTGTATGTAATATGGGTCCGTAAGAGCAATACTTAACTTCAATCAAAGCTCAGCAGGTACGTGGGGGACCTCTCCCCTCCCCCTCCACCATGCTTCTACTAGTTGTAAAGCTTGAGGAGTGCAGTCGCCCTCCGATATAACGAATCTACATATTCCAAACTTTCTCGTTTGATACATCAGGTACGATTCTATGTGAAATTCAGATTCGGATTACCAAAACCCGTTCGTTACAGCAGATTTGTGGCTTTTTGGCATTCGGCATAGTGGAGGGCAACTATAAGGCACTAGTTGGCTCCTGGTAGACGTGTAGTTCCTAGTTAGAACCTAAAACAAATAATAACACCGCTGATCTATTTACCATCACAAACTTTCTAATCATCCATCTACCCTACCTTCCACTCTCTACTAACGATGTTTAAACCTTAAAGTATAATGCGCTGCAACTAAAGTAGAAATTCCGCCGATACCCATGCAAACCGCAATAGCATTTATACCGACCCTTGGAGGCCCGACATCTCCTTCCGTGAATTCGGGACTTAGTCCCGGCTCCAGTATTGAAAATACAACAAAAGAAATAAACGAACCGACAAATTGCGGCAGACACGCAAACACATTCAGAATTCCGAGACTATCACTGTCAGCTGTATTTCTCAATAGAAATAATGTATAGATTATTGACTCACTAAACTCCTGCAAGCTCATCAGAACCGGCTTCTGCATTCACTGTTGTTTGAGTGGCATCACTAGGGATAGGATTTCCTGTCGCTTCCTCCATCTCTACGTCTTCATCATATTCGAAATTTCGCTGGTGGTTTAGAGGCCCATATGCTCCACTTAATCTCCGAGGACGATAACTGTTGGTAGGTCCACAGATATTGAGTCGATTAATCTCTTCCCCAACAATACTAAAAGGAGCCTTTCACTCTGTTAGGATAGGCTTAGGATATAAAAACGACAGAATGAAATAACCTTACCCAAGTCATTAAAGACCAGGCCCTATATTTAATTTAAGTCAGCAGTGACCGTACAAGTAACAGTTTCCAATAATGCACTCACACTCCACTGAGGGCAACACAGAGCATTGCCAAATTCACAGTTGACACAAACAACGTCATTAGCATTAATGACGCATACATGATATGCCCACAAATCCATGCAGTTGCTAAACTTGGTTTGAAAGGTATCATGGCTTCTAGAAAATTGGCCAGCGAACCGTTTCCAGGATCTTTCTGGCGAAATTCGTCAGATTCTGGGGATGTCACCACCCAGGGCAGCAAGACCGATGAGAACAAAGATACGACTGAGAACATAACCAACGCCATACTACCAACTCTTGCAATATCTCCGACAACATCCGCAGACGATTGCAAACTTTCTTGGGCTGCCACATCATATCGTTTGAGGACCTCACCCACGAATGTTGTGCTGTAAACCATGAATGGAAACCAGCCTTAAGATCTGTTAAAAATGCACTGAATATGTAACATATCTTGACGATTTGAATGACACTTACCTATCCATGCCCAAAACAAAACTACACACATATCCCAAATACCTTTTGGAAGATGCCACGAGGTTCTCCATATCAGGACAAATACTTGAATAGTAGATGATTTCTCATCGGAGCTTCTAAAACCGAAGAATGATATGTATGTATTAGATAACGGCTGAAGAATGAGCTGGGTTAGAAATCTCACCGTCTATTCAAAAGTACTCTTTCATCTACGCAAAAACAGGTGACAAGAATGCAGAACAGCAGCCAAAATGCGGCAAGGCCCATGAGTTGTTTAAACTGACTATCACCCAAAGAAGTACCAAATATCGCCTTAAGATCGACTGTGCCCCTGTAAGATTACATTAGATTATCCCATTCATTATCTAACTAATTAGGAAAACTTACGCAAAATAGCCAGCAATGTTGCCGACTGCGATCATCCTACTAGCTTCGAAATCATGAGTAAGTCACGAAGACAAAGAGTAAATTCAGAGACTTACCCCATGCACTTCCGTGTTGTTGCTGGGGAATCGGGAGAGTATCAACAATAAGTGCTCTACAACATGCCTGCACTGTAGATCAAATTCACCTTGTTAATAGCTTTCATTTCTTCAGATAAATTATAAATTGGATCGTGACTAACCGGCATTCACAGCAAAATCCACCAAAGCTAGTGCCATAATTGCAAGAATAATAACAATAGTATTGGTCTTTGGAATAGGTCAGTGCTGTAAATCCCCAGAATGGTAGGCCAAATAGGACAACTAACCGCATCACCTTCTCCAAAGAAAAATGTACTGATCTCTCTAGTCCAGCCTAAAATTAGTAGCGCAACCGCAACGACGACACTCCCGATAACCATTAATGGCCGCCTCCTTCCTACATATATTTAGTTACCAATTTGAATACATGTAAGTTCAAAGGGTGATAATACCCCACCGTGACCGTGACCTATCGGCAATGGCACCAACTACGGGTTGTGTGAGCCCAGCCAAAGGTCCCACGATCCAAACCAGGCTCATGAGGGATTTGGTCAGACCGAGTGACAATAGGTAAGGGGCACAGTCTATAAAGCGTATATTTAATCAGCAATCCAATCGTATAAACTAATGCCATAAATATAAGAAAAAGAACCCAAAAGCTACAGCTCTAAAAATAGCACACTGTGAGTGTACTAAGCTAGCCTCATTGGCCAATGATCTCAAAGATTAACTTCTAGGGGTAAACTAACATGACATCTCAACGCTCCATACTAATTGAACACCAGTTAGGCTTTGAAATATTAGTATGGCCCTCCATCTGATCTAAGGATGTATTTGCGAGTGCGACCACCAACCATATCGTCAATAGTATCATCCGCACCGAATCGGTGGGACCTTTGATAGATGGAGCACCATCCCATGTCGCTGCCATCAAAGTACGAACACTAAGTTTGAGGTGTCCGATATAGAGGTTGAATCAAGTTGAGTCGAACCAAGTGAAGAAGCTGATTGCTGATTGGGCACACAGATACCACTGATATCCTAAAAATGTAGATACAAGTATCAAAAGAGACGCTTCTTCCGATATCGAGAGAAACGGACAGACAACAACAAGGTATAAGGGGACGAGAGTTATATAAACAAAATCTACTGTGGCTCGTGTTGACAATCCTTGAGCATGCGTTTCAGGAGACGTCAGCTTCAATGTGTGCTGTGCCTTTCCCCTAGTACTCCATGCACGCGGAAAGTCACCTCGGTCGGGTAACCAATGCACACTACGTCATTGTCTTGGCCAACGATTATTTGGGTGCATGTTTTTTTTAGCAAGAACGAATAGATCTTTTAAGCACCTTATGAAGAAGAAAGAAGAAACTTCGCGGAAAGACAAAGATTCGAACGAACAGCGAAAAACCGAAACCCGCAAGAGATATTTGTAACAAGTGAAAGGGAATTCAAAACAACCACCGACACGTCCAAAAAGCCCCGTAAAGTCTTGCGAAGTAGACTGCTGGACTATTGCAAGAAAAGTTTATATCGTATCACATAGTACAATGATCATATCATGGCCTAGAGCTTGTTGGGTACAGTGCTTTGAACGGGCCATTGATAGCCTGCCAGGTCGTTGAACTTGTACCCATAGGAAGCGGTGAAATCGTCCAACACAGCTGGACCACGCGATCCTACATCTTGTCAGTTGATTGTCGCACAGAATTTGAGTTACTATCTTACCATATGGGTATTCCATGGGAATGATCTCCTTATTCTCATCAAGATAGTGTAGCAGAGGAGTGAAAATTCTCCAACTCGCATCCAACTCATCATCGCGGACAAAGTTGGAGTGATCACCCTTCAATGCATCCAAGATCAAAGCCTCATAGGCCTCTGGGATCTTTAGATCGCTGAAACGACGTCGGTAAGTAAGATCTAGCTCAGTCACGGCCGTCTGCATACTAAGCCCTGGAAGCTTCGAGTTCATCTTGATGTAGACACTTTCGTTGGGCTGAACGCGGATGACAAGCTCATTACGAGGAATATCCTTGAAAATTCCACTTGTGACATCCTTGAATTGGATTCTGATCTCGGTCTTCTGCTCATTCAGAGCTTTTCAAGACGTAAAATGAGTATATTGTAGTTGAGTGATATGGATAATGAATATTACCTTTTCCTGCCTTGAGAATGAATGGCACGCCGTCCCATCGTTCGTTCTTGATATAAACAGCAAGTGCACAGAATGTAGGGCACCTGCTGTCCTTGGGGACGGTATCATCGTCCAAGTATCCAGGCTTACTACCGTCAAGCGATTTCCCATATTGGCCAATAATGACGTTCTTGGGCTCGATAGCTGGGATTCCTCTCAATACGCGAACCTAAGATATGTTAACGATAGGCTTCAATAAGGCCGAAGACTTATCCCACCTTCTCATCACGAATATCTTCCGCCGAAAAGGAAATCGGACGCTCCATTCCGATAATAGTCAATACCTGGAGCAAATCTAGTTCCTTATTAGCCTCTTGGGTCTTTAGTAACTTGGATTTTAAGGAAACGAACGATTCTGCATAACATCGCGAATGATGCCGAAATCGTCAAAATAACCTCCACGGCCTTCCGTTCCGAAAGGCTCCTTAAACGTAATCTGTTGTATAGATTAGAAAACCTAGCCAACTAACAGCTCCATTAACTATACTACTTACTTGAACGTTATCGATGTGATTCCTGTTCCAAGTGGCGCCAAAAAATTCGTTTCCGAATCTAAGAATAAGTAGGTTCTTAACCATCTCTTTTCCAAGATAATGGTCGATACGGAAAATCTCCTCTTCCCTCCAGTCTGGCTCAAGCGCCTTTTGGAGTTCTCTGGAGCTCTGGAGGTCCTTCCCGAATGGCTTCTCGACCTGTTCCAAGCATAAGCAGCTGCGCATATCATTTATAGTTTACTCCTCTTGCTTAAAACTTACAATTAAACGTGCAATTCCCTTCTGAGGGTAACAGTTCTTCTTTAGATGCTGTGAGACCGTTGTGAAAACGCTGGGCGGTAGTGCCATGTAGAAGATGCGATGATTTTCTGGCCGGCCCTTCTCAAGTTCGTCCAAGTGCTCACGAAGTCTAATAAAAGATTCGTCCTGGTCGTATTGACCAGACACATAGGAACACTTTTTCAAAAACTCTTCGAGTTGTTCTTCCATCTCCTTGATAGGTGTCTTGATGTAAGACTTCACCCGACTGAGATACTCTTTCCCATCCATCTTCGTCCGCGCATATCCGACGATGTTGCAGTCTTTAGGAAGAAATTTATTTCTATGCTATTTGACTAGTCAACTAGCTGTTTTCGATGATTGAAACCTTGGGAATCACTAACCAGTCCAAACAAAGCCGGAAACTACGCAAACCGTCAGCTATGGTAAGACCTTAACAACCATGGGGAATGGGTACACACGGTTTTTTTCTTCGCTAAATCACCGGAGGCGCCGAGAACGATAATAGTTGTGTTCTCTTTAAGCTCCACCGTGCTGCAATCGCTTATCAGCATCAAGTACTCAAAACTACCCCGCCCCCGCCGTTGCAATGCTGGAAAATAGTAGCACCCATATTGATATTAAGACTCTTCGCAAAACTCAATTCATTCTGTCGAACAAAAATGAAGAAGAGTTTGGGAGAAAACTGGGGCGGGAAGAACGATGACGTTAAGGGTAAGAGTGGATAGATAGTGGGAGAACAAACCCAGCATTGGCAGCAACATCTGGGTGAATGATGGTGTCGGTCATCTTTCTCAAGCGTTAGAGTTTTCAGAAAGAGATTTCTTTTTCAGAATGCAACGATATTGAATGGTAATGATGGGTGACTTTATTGAAAGAGCGGGCGGAAGAATTCAATGGTGGTGGCGGAGTGGGGAGAAGAGGGGTTGAGGGAGTGAGTTTCGTTCGGTGGGTCAAACTAAAATACTCCGGGGCTCTACATACGTCGTTGCTCTCTTCGCTCGCCTGCTTGGTCAATCTTGATCCTCTCCCTAGGTACTTCTGGCCTTCATACAGCCGCCGCAGCAAACAGTTGTTCTGGGGGGTTCGTGCGTCATGTGTTCTACCCTCAACCACGGTTACAGATATCTAAATCAAATACCTATCCCATCATCGCTGTACACTTCTGGCAGATGAATTATCACTACATGTACTTCGGAAACAGTAGCTAAAATTTGCGAACAGAGGAGACTTCTCTCCGACTATTGATGCAACTTACTTGAGCCGTACACACAGAGTTATGTAAGTGTTGGGAAACAGACTCGATAGAGGCTATTTTTTTTTATTGTTTGGCGATGTTTATCATGTTGGCACACCCTCTAATATCCTATAAGCCCAATGACACACCCACAAGAACACCCGGTCGCCTCGCCGGGTCAGATTACATATCTGCATACTACTGCACTGATGTTCCTGGTTGTCGTAGATTTTCTCCTACCTCCGGTGCTTCCGTAGGTTCCTTACCCGCATAGTAGTACGCTGAACTAGGATCGAATTAAACAGGTCTGGCAAGTACCAGGGCCGTAACTGTTTTTAGTATGTACATACATAAATACTCGCATGGTATACCGTGGGGGAACTGGGAAAAGAGCCTAAATCATGTCCCACCCCTCAGGTATTAATTAAGGAATAATAGGTATCGGCATTGGCATCACTAATGTCAAGATCGTGAAAATTTTATTTGTTTTTCTTTTTCGAAAATGCTGTTGTTAAACATGCGGACCAACAACACTCTACAGATCTAGATGGTCTCCTGCCATACATACATGTAGATGCTTATAAAGATATGAGGTGCAGGGCAACGTCTCCAACCCTGGATATATCCGCCCCGTAATCCTTAAAGTTTGGTTTACGAATGTCCTCTAAAGAGGTCAAGTCTGTGGCTGTTCTTTGTATGGGGTCTTTTTTACGGAAAAACAAAGGTCAAAAGTAAATTAGCACATTCTCCTCGGAGTTTATCTCCTCTTATTCCCGAGACGGAATTCTGCTGTCCGCAAACACACTTCCAAGGAGATTTCAAAGTACGTTTATTTCACTCAGGCATTACTTCTAAATCATGTAGTAAGAACGTGCCATCTGATAACTGAATATGTAATATGATTACATGTACACGTGCGCCTACTAAATATCAGACTACCTTATTTTACAACTACAATCGTACATACATGTACCTACACCTACTAGCAATGCCGAATATTATATTGATCATGTGACCGCCATATTGGTGTGAAGCTTAGGGGTTTGTGAGAGGGGCGGGTTACATCATCAATAAAATTTCCGACATCGCTACCTACATGTAGTATATACCGGGGGTTAACCATAAATACCGAGAATCTGATAAGATAAACACACCTATATCACAGCAAGATATTTACCCTCAACACCGGTACATGTACCCAATATAGTAGTAGTACAACTACATATATAGACGTACTGTACATGTATGCTATGCTAGGTACATGTATGGTGCGCCCACTCTTAAAGGTAACCAAAATTGATGGAAAGTCAATCGTTTATAACTTCACCATCAAAGATGATATCAAAAATGTGGCAAAATAAAAGTATAGAAATAGTGAACTTTAGTTCTATTTTGCCAGATTTTTAATATCTATCATGGTCATGAAGTTATTAGAGATTGAAACTGGCTGTTTTTGTACAGTATTATACCCATTTATACCCTCAGAAAAGCAAACCTGACTGATCCGTGGCAGTAATGCAGCAGAATGGCTAGAAATGGGCCCTCTTATTGGCCCATGAGGCCCTATTACAGCCACAATTGTTCCACTTCCGTATGCCGCCATATTACCTTTAAGAGTGTGCGCACCATATGTTTATATGATTATCACAGTATACATACAAATCTACATACATGTATACCTTATATAATGCCAAAAAATGGTATGTATGATAGAGTGCATTCGTGGACATATGTATGTACTTTACGTGTAACTTTGGCCCTGTATTGAAAAAAGACCCCCGTCATCAACCTTGATCTACATGTACCTACGTGTAGAGAAATATTAGAGACCACTTATTCCGAGCTAACTCCAGCATGGGTACCTGCTAACATCACTTCATCAACCATATTGTGCCTTTTTGTATTGAAATAACCCTCTGTCGTGGGCGGCAATGACCTACAACGGTTCTTATCATCTGTTATTACCTCATTTTTGCGAATACCCCATAAAATTGTGTTTACGGACCGTTTATTTGATAAATCTTCATTTCTTTTAGACGAAATTAAAGCACTGGTAAACTTGTAATGCTTCTTTAGATCCCTTATATCAATAGGTCAAGCTTTTACATTTATGCAGGTCGTCCTTGGCATCCGGAACATACCGATTGGCAGGCTGCAGCATTCGTTAATTCAATCCAGCTGATTCATAGGTACAAGCCTGAGCTGCTGCACATGGTATGATTCTCCCCACTTTCCTGTTCACCCCTCAGCTCAATCATCCAATTTTACCTCAAATACATATCTCTAGGTAACTACCATGGAGGGGTATCAAGGAAATAGCGCCATCATTTCTGGCAACAAGTCCCATCAAACAACTATCGATCAACTCGGCACCGAAAAACAGCCACCAAGTACACTCGTAACCACCTATGAAAACCCCACTTCTTTCATAGCTGAGCTTGACAGTACACCTATCGAACCTAAAAAGGCCTCTTTGCAAAAGGGCCCTGACAGTAGTGCTGTGAAAAAACCGGCAAATTTCCCACAGGTTCAAAGCCCATAAGGAGTGTGTTGGTGCAATAGTTTGGTGCAACAGTTTGGTGCAAATATAGAATTTTAACTAACACATGCACTGTATTGGGAATTTTTAGGATATCGCAAATGCCAGAGTAGCTAAGTTAAAGGATCCGGCTGTTCTAGTAAACGTAAGTTCATACGCTTTATATTCAACCAATTCCTAAATACATGTATTTATACTAATACCATACATACATGTAGCTTCCGACATCTCCATCAGCTCAAGTAAGTCTTAGTCATACATGTATTGAATTTACAGAGCTTAGAGCTAGCTATATAGCACCCTCCCTTTTACATGAGCTTTTACTTACCGACGGCTTTTTATGAGATTAGGCGTATGAGTGCGCACATGCGCAAACATCCAAAGACCCGGGAAACGATAGCTATTTTGACCCGGTTTTTGTTGATGTTGAAGACAGCACCACGGAAGGAAACTGATGACCACGGGTTCGAGTGATAACTTGTGCTTCTAGCCATCCCTTGTGGGGCTTTACGAATTTTAGTGTTACTACAGTATCATGCCAGTTTTGGTTATCGCTTCTAAGAAATCAAGTAATGACTTGCACACACCCCCTGATATTACCTGAATTTTTAAAGCTTTGCCACTGTAATTCTGTAGAAAGTATACAAAGTTAAGTACATAATTATAGCACTCCAGATGAGAAATCCCTTCCAATAAAGCTCAATTAATTACAATATGTTGATATATCGTTATCAGATCACGTCACAATCTCAAAAAAGCTTAAATGTAGAAAATTAAGCTTGTATCTTGTTTAGAACAATAGCGGTCTTCTGACACGCATCCGTACAGGTAATCGTTTCAGAAATTATGCAATACACTTTCAATCCGTCCATCCTTCGATATCCTCCTCGATCTTTTCCTTCGACATAACCTCGTCACAGCCAGCCCAGCCCAAACCGATATTCCATCCAGCCCGAATCTAACTAACTACCCCACTAACTCAACTGCCTTGAGAAAAATAAAAGGAAACGGAGAGAAAGAAAAAATAGAAAAAAATAGACAAAAATATGAGGCAAACGATTGATAGAAACAACAATAATACCGCCAGTAAACCAGAGGGGGGAAAAAAAGAAAACGGTGAAAAAACGATCACCTGAACAAAGATCAAGAATAACCCCCAAAATGACTAATTTGTTGAAAGAAAAAAGAGAAAAACGAATATGACACGACATGTTGCCGAAAATACATGATCTCTATCTCTACTAGAGGATCCGACCCAGTTATTATTCCAGCGCAATACAGTCCCACCCGAAGGAACGCAAGAAGATGAAAAAGAAAGAAGGCAACGAAGGCAAAGCGTCAGCCAGTTAGATTGACTGGAAAAGAAAATGGGGGAATTTAAACTCCTTTACTTCCAACGAAACCAAAAACAGAACAGGAAAAAATGAACAAAAGAAGAGGATAATAATTAGAAAGAAAAAAAGGAGCAGATCAAAATAGTATATGGCTCCGATAGTAAACCAGAGAGGATAGGAAGAAATCGAAACGGGAAGAAGAATTTGAAAACATCTACGTCAACATTGGTCTTGATCCTGGCGAGCCTGCTGAATGCTGTCCAATACTACCAAACAGGGCAGCTGGTGAAAGCCTCGATTGCATCTGCATCGATTGTTCTACTGGCGATGCCCGTGTGGGTGCGGGTGAGTATCCCTCTCGTCGTCGTCTAAGGTAAGATGACAGAACACCCAAAACAACTATCAAGAACACAAGGCCTAGCGCGATCGCTAGTGATATTAGGATTACGAATCCCCTTGCGAGTTTTTTGCCTACACGGAAACAGATTGTCAACACACTATAATATAAAGAAAAGCCAAACAATGCAGGCAGTACTCACGACCAGAATTGAAGTTTTGTTCATTCTCCGAAAATAGAGATGTCACGGAACCTCGTTCACCATTCTCCTTGGAGGCCAAAAGGAATGGCGTCCAGTTGCTGCCGTTGTATAGGGCTGCAGAGGCATTTCCGAAAGATGGAAGATCCAGCGATCCCATGACGAGAAGTGACTTGCTTGAACTTAGGGAGTCGGTGCTGGCATGTTCTGTGCTGAGTTCGAGAACTTGGACATTTCTGATCGTTGAGCCATCACCCAATCCATCTACAACAAATGTTAACACAACCCGCGTCCATCCTCACAACAAAATGATCTCAACATACCCACGGTAATAAATTTGTTATCGTTATTGTTACCATATTTCATCAAGTATGCAGATCCATCCGATGCCGTAACTCCTGAGATAAAGAACGAATCCTTCGCTGACGAGTCAAACGCAATATTCTGCACCGGTCCGGGGATATTCGAAATATCACCCGTAAAGGACTCCCAGGTGCTCGATTTTGCACTATAAACCGCCAGATAAGTAGCGGTGTTATTAAGCGTCATGTCGCCCCCAACAAGGAGGCTATCGTTATCCAGCCAAAGTATAATATTAACAGTACCATTCACATCGCCGCCAATATTGGTCCATTGTTTGGCAGAATTGTCGAAGACGCACAAGCTAGGGCAAGGGAGAGAGCCAGCTGAGCTGAAAGCTCCGCCAACAAAGATCTCCTGGGTATTTGGACGCCTATTGATTGAGTATACCGCAACGGCATCGCCTTCCAGGCCAACGGGCTGTTCACTGGCAAGCGCATTGGTAGACATATCCCAAACGACCACCCCCTTAACATCAGTAGAACCAACGGTGCCCTCTATCGAGCCGCCAACAAAGAGAAGAGTGTCAACCTTCGCAAGCGTCATGACTATGCTCGAGTTGTTGATTTCAGTTCCGAATCCAGTCACCGAATCATTGGATACACCATTGATAACCGCCAGGTTGTTAACCGTACCACCAGCTGTTGCCTCTGCAGTAAAATGACCTCCCAGGATCGTCAGATTTACACTCCCTTCATTATAGAAAGCACCTGTAACTACGCCCTGGTAATCTGCAGAGACCACTGTACGCCGTTTTAGACTGGAGCTCGATGTTTCCTGAATTATCATTGGGAGCGGCTGGAGCGTGTTTGGATCTGTGTCGGAGATGGTAACGGCCCCGAATGCTTCCAGGCTCTGCGAGGAGATGGACCCAGCATACAAGACGCCATCGTTAGGAATTGAAACAGAGGCAGACAGAGCCCCCTGAATAGCAATTCTGTCTCCGTCCATCAATTCCAACCACTGATTCTGAGAAGGCACCCAAACAGCAAAGCCGTCGACGTCCAGAGCAGCAGAGCTCCCGCTTGCTTCAATCCTGCTAAAATCACCACTGATGGCGATGGCTTCTTGTGTCCCAGAGCTCACGTTCACACTGAGCGCTACGATATCCATGACACGGCCATTCACGCCGGCGCCTAGGGTCACCCACTCGTTGTTAGTGGTATCATAGCCCGCAACGAAACCAACACCGTCGGTTGACTCGGTGTTGGTATTTTGAAAGTTCCCACCGACGTATAAAATATCACCTGCAAGAAGCATGGAATAAACGGTGCCGTTCAATCCCCCCTTGGATGGTGTGATGGGCCCATCAGGGCCAATCGAGAAGAAGTGCAAGAAGCTTCCATCATCTGCGCTGAAATTACCCGCGACATAAGTGATATCGTCTTTCGCAGTCATGGCAATGACCGTAGCGCTAGGACCCAGGCCGCGTCCAGCAGAGTTGACAACAGAGCTTGCAATATCCGACGCGGTGGGCGTGCCAGTCTGTGTGGGATCAAACTCGTAAAGCCCGTTCAGATCCGTTGTCCCCGTACTCTCAGTGCTAGCGGCACCACTGCCACTGCTCGTCGTGTTGTTCCACAACTGGAATTGGACCTTTTGGGCTACAATATTCACCGTCGAAAAAGACTGAGACGAGGCTGGGGTGAGCGTAACACTCGGTCGGAAGCCGCTCTCAGAGGCATCAACTCTGCCCCGATACACAGTATCGTATTTGTCATAGTCGTTCGTTTGAAACAAAATCACAGGACTTTCGGCAGTCCCATCTGATGTATAGGTGCCGGTTACATTGATCTGTCCACGGGTGCTACAGCTGTTATCTTGCCGGCATCCCGGGGTAAACAAAAGCACACTGTACTCTCCAGGCTGTTGAATATGGGGTTCGAAGACCACCCTTGCTGTCGAAAGCTCAGTTGCGTCGAGATTTACTGATAAGTATTCAGAATCAACTGCGTCGTTATCAATCGCCGTCCATGGACCTGTGGCAGTGGAGGTTGACCTGGCATCAGCAGAACTTGAAGCGCATGTTGGCTCATTTAGCTCAGTCGATGCAAACGCGAAGATGTCTGTTTACATCCGTTAACCGAAATTCCTCGAAAGGCACGTGACCGAAACAAATTATCATTGACATACCGTCCTGAAATAGCTCAATTCCAGCAAGACCTCCTCCAGCACCATAGTACTCGAAGATATCGATTCGAATTGCATTCATATTGACATCATTTACGAATAGATATTCCTGGGTGGCCCCTTCGCCCAATTCACACCACGCATCACAGAATTTCGTCTCGTTGGTGGAAGAGTCGGTATATGTGAGATTCATGATACCAGCTAGTGGGAATGCAGTGAACCTAAATATCTTGGTTCCCCGGCCCTCATGGTCGGCATTCCTCAGCTTCAACTTTGTTGGCTTGAATTCAAACTTGAACCCAGCCGTCCAAGACCCCAGCTGCCCATCCCTCGTCAACCACTGATTACTCGTACCCTCCGAGCACACAATACTCGAGGGATCACTAAACCCCGCCAAATCCGTCGTCTGCGTCGCCGTGATATTCGTCGACACCAAATTAACCGTCTGCGCATGCCTCACCAACGGACTCGACGCATTCCCCAAGCTCGTAAAGCTCCCGCCAAACACCACCGTCCCATTCGCCGTCGCCGTGATCGACTTCACGGGCCCATTAAACCCATCAAACGGCAGGTCCGTCCACCCCTTCCCATCCACCCACGAGATCGCATTACTACTATTACTCTCATTCGCCTTAAAGTCCCCCCCGACATACACAGTGCCCTTCTCCCGATCGCACAGCAGCGCATGCACCTTCCCCGCCAGCCCCGCCAGCGGCGTCACACTCCCATCCCCCGGACTCCACAGCGCCACGCCGCTCGCCGCAACATTCCCCAGCCCCGTAAAGTTGCCGCCCACAAAGATGCCCTTCACGGTGCCGTCGGCAAGCTCGTGCACGCACAGCGCCTGGATCTGCGCGTCCGATGACACGAGCGTCGTGAACACGCCGTTGGGCAGCCGCGATAGCAGGCTCTGCGTGCCATTGGCGAAGGGCGAGGTCTCAGACTGCCCGGCGTACTCGACGATCGAGAGCCCGCTGAAGTCCCCGGCGATGCCGACGCGACCGAGACCGTCGAGGTTGAGCGTCGGTTGCGTTATGGCCGTGGCGGTAAGCGCGTGGGCGGGCGTTAGTGCTGTTGAGAGGAGGAGGAGGAGCGCCGAGGTGGTTGTCGGGGCGTGGAATGAGGGCGGCCTCATTGCTGGCCGGGGTTGGGGTTGTCGTCGTGGTGGTGATGGTGGTGGGTTGGTGTATCCACGATGGGTTGTGAAAAAAAAAGCGAGTGTGGTGGTGTTTTTTTTTTGGTGGTTTGTGTGTTAGGTATGGAGGTAGCGTGGGTAAAAGTGAAAAGTGAGTGTGAAGTGAGTGAGAGGCTGGGCTGGGAGGGGGGGAGAGTTCTGGTGGTGCTAGCTGCTGTACGGGGGCCCACGCTCTGATTGGGGAGGCTGAACGGCCGGCAAATCAGATTTAGGAAACCGCTGAGACCCTTCTTTTGTCTCTCCCTCTCTTAATATCTTTGGTAGGTTATGTACCTAGGAAGGAGGTGGCCTGTAGAGTATCCAAGCTGGGTTTGCTGTGATGATCAAACCGGCCTGTAGTAGTAATATAAAGGGCAGGCAGGCAGAAGGGTAAAAGGAAAAGGAAAAGAAAAAAAGACTGTTAGTAGTAAGATGAGGAAAGGACAGTAATAGCTGGCTGCTCCTTCAGCGCAGCAAGTAGCAGTAGCTAGACGCGATCGATCCGATGGAAGGGGGTTGCTGGTTGCTGTGTTGTTTGAATCTGTTTGCTGGCTGGATGCGTGGTCCGCAGGGGTTAACAAGTATTCTGCTTGCCTGTGCTTGTGTGCTATTGCTTGTTACTTGCTACACTTGCTGCTGGGTAGGTACCCGTACAGTAGCGGTAGGGTAGGTAGGGCAGGTAGAGCGTATCGTATGGCACGCACTCTACGGACAAAAAAGAAAAGAAACAACGCCGGGCCGTTCAAAGGGAAATAATATAAAAAACGAGAGTGGTTTTGGTAGTAGCAGTGGACCCTGAGTGATCTCCAATCACCTATTGGTACCGGTATAATGAACGAACTGGAAATAATCGATTGGAAAGGAAAGAAAGAAAGAAAAAACGAGCGACAGGGCTGACCGACAATGCAGGCAGAAAAGAAACGAACGAAACGAACAAAAGTCCCCAGAGCAAAAGAGCCGGAAAAAAAAACAGAAACCACACACATACATATCCAGGCACCGTCCACCTTTTACACACCTACTCGTAGTCTCCTGGCGTTTTTGGACTGGGCCACTATTGCATACACCCAAAATCAGGATCTTGGCGTATTTTTGTATGGTATGCAATATCAGTCGCGTTCAAAAACGTCAGGAAGTTACGAGTACTCTACCTGTAATCTACAACCGGCTTCATGCCAGGCACCAAATCAAATGCCAAATCCAGGAAGCGAATCAACCCCCGCGCGCCGCAGGGCAGCGTCGCGTCAGCGCAAATAATGGCGCCCATCCCATCCAGCAATCCTGGGCACTGTAGGTACCGTATACGTACAGTACCTGTATGTAATGAGTACCTACATCCACTCTACTAACAGGTACGAATGGGCTTTACTTACTTGCTTTACCTGCCTGCTTGCTGCTCATGTTACTCACACTCACATGAACCTCATCCAAGACCCACCCAAGAGCACAGACGCCGTCTCTCCTGCTCTCTTCGTCCATCTCTGTGTTTCTGTCTGGTCGTCCTGGCGCCCCTTTACGGGTGCGCCCGTCTCACCAGGCCGCAACAGGAAATGCATCTTGCCCCTAATCGGGAAAGTGGCCGCTGGGCTCGGCTTGTTCCGGCCTAGTTATGAGCAAGAAGTAACAGAAGAAGTTGGACGCGTCGAGCGATGACAGTAATCAGCAGAGCAAATTGCATTTTGCAGGATGTCGATGAGTGTCTAAGGTGGCATCTGAAGTAGGTATGTACTCTGGAGGCAGGTACACTGGGCATGTCATGTCATGTAGATGTAGGTACAATAAGAATAAGGTACAGGTACAGTATGGTTGGGGACACCTTGAGACGGAGGGTGCGACATTCGGTTTGAGAAGTGGGTTAGGGTTACAGGGTAGGAGCGGGGAGCGGGTTAAGCGAGCTCAGGAGCTGAGCTTTCTACCATCACTCGCCATCACCCGTCCTCACCTACCATCACCCGTCCTCACCTACCATCACCCGTCCTCACCTACCATCACCCGTCCTCACCTACCATCACCGGTCATCACCCGTTGGCAATCTGATACTACCGCAGTATTCTACTCCGTAATGTATTGTTCCGTTCTTGAAAATGATAGTATGCTAATTGAGGATATAGTATGCCAGCTTTATCAAAAAGGGCGAGACAGCTGAGGGCAGCGCGCTGCAGCAAAAAAGTCAAGTTGAGCTCAGAGGACCTTATTCACGTACCCCAGGACTTACTGGAACGGTTGGATGATGAAAGTGAGGAAGGGTTTTGGACCGTTGCGCAAGACCCTTATGCTGCAGAAGTCCATTGGGAAGATTATGCGGATACTTCAGATTGGGAAAGTGAAGAGGATTGCGAGTTTACAGAAGGAGAGGAGGAAGGAGATTTTGATAATGATGTGTTCACAAAAATGATGAGGCAGCGGAACTCTGAAGTTTTTGATAGGGCGCATATCAGATATCAGCGGGTATCTAAAGCTACAAAGCGTACTCAGCAAAGACATGCGAAGAAGCGGAAAGAGTTGGAAAAGGCAGCGAACGGGTACAGAAGGCTTACTTCTCAAGGACTACTGTCAGGCACGATCAACAATATACAGTCCAGTTTAGCTTCAGGTTCTGTGTTGCATGATGAGTTTGCTAATCGCTCTGTTCTTTTTGTCAGAGAGTATCACGATGCAATCGATGATTTGGAGAAGATACTTGGCTCAAAAACCTTGACCGGACAGAATCTTATTCGGAATAAGGCGGTATTGTCCTATATGAATATTCAACTTTCAAGGAAAGAGAATGAAACGCGTGAAGGATTGGCTTTGATGATAGCGCGCTGTTACAATAGAGGAGTTTACTTTGCGCGGAAACTAGTAAGCTGGGAAATAAGCTGGAGGGAAAACCGGACGATAGAAGAAGGAAGGAAGGGATGCTATAGCAAAACGAAGTCTTGGTTTAATGATGAGGGAATACAATTGATAGTTAGAGACTGTAACGGCAGCTATGTATTTCGGCTAGGTGATGAACTGGGATGAGGGAAGGAGGTATCGTGCAGTGGAATTAGGATTTGTAATGGGGATTTCTGTTATGTTCTTTGGGTTTCTGTTACGCGAAGGTATTAGTCATCGTTGGATTATGGATGGATATATAAGGGGGCGTTGTTTCGTGCTTTTGTTTGTTTTCCTTCTTCTCTTTCTTCCTTACGCAACCTCTGTATTTATTCCACGAATACTATTCTCTGTCCGCACTACGTCATAGGGCTCCAACCGGTTTATCATACCAGGCAGAGCCACCCCATAGTCCATAGTCAAAGCATACCTTTACATCTACGTTCACGTCTACGTCACTACCTAGGTTGTATTCCTTGGCACCACAGTCTATTGCCTACAGTCCCCGTGATACGTAGGTTGCGTCCTCTATCGCCAACCAATACAACACCATAGCCTACAATGTCGGAACATGTCCATGTCGATTATCAACAACTCAACGATAACCTCCAAAGATTTTTTGAAGCGCATCCACAGGTCGATCATGTTGTCGGAGCTGAAGCTTATGCGCTTCTTCAACAGTGTCAAAATGGTCTTACTCAATATGCAACGGATTTACAAGAGGTAGAAGCGGAGGCTGAGAGGGCAAGAAGAATGTTTGAACGAGATCTTACTGCTGCCCGAGCTCAACAAACTGCTGTTCAGATTGTGGCCCCTGACGAAGAACCTATTGGAAATAATGCTCCACCTGTACCCCCAGCACCACCAGTTACCGGTACCACCTATCGGTCGGAGAAACTCCCAGACCCCGACGTGTTCAGGGGGGATCGTGATCGGGAAAGGCTACACTTATTCAAGCAACAAATGAAACTTAAGCTATTAGGAAATGCCGATCGCTATCCTACACTACAGTCTAAGTTATCGTACGCGTTCAGCAGATTGGAAGGTGCTGCTGCCAATCAGTTTTTACAGTACATGGGAGAAGAAGGTATTGCCTTACCTTCTATGACACGGTTTTATGAGATTCTAGATACAGCTTTTGGAGACCCCGATCGAATGCGTACAGCTAGAAGAAATCTTCGAAACATCAGACAACGCACTCGAACCTTTGCCGATTATTTTGCTGAGTTTCAACGGTATGCTGCTGAGTCGGGTATGGATGAAGTCTCTCGGATTGAGGCTTTGATGGAAGGAATTAATGGGGAACTGGACGAATCGATGATACACCATGAGACTCCTGCAACGGTAGATGGTTGTGCAACACTCTTGCAACGATTGGATAACCGACGACGGGCGGCGGAAGCTAAGCGAGGTAGTAAAAAACCTTGGACTACTACTGCGACCCCGGCTCCGCGTCCTCCACCAACAAATCCTGTTCCTGCTCCCCGTCCTGCTGCCCCTGCTGCCAATCCACCTGCCACTGAGAATCACCCCTCGTTCCGTCCTGGAGGTGATGTACCCATGGACCTGTCTGGAGGACGTCGTCGCCCTACCCCTGCCGAAAGAAACGCCCGATTAGCTGAGGGCCGATGTTTCTATTGCGGAGGTGTCGGGCATATGGTTAGAAATTGCCCCCAAGCGAGGGCAACTGGAAATCAACCAAGGAGACCTGTGATGAGAGGAGCGGCGTTGACAGTGGAAGAAAATGATGGAAGCGATAATGAGTCGGCAAAAGATTTGTCCCTGCACTAAGTGGCTTAGCCCAGGGACCGTTTAAGGATTTCTCTAAGATGTGTATTTCTGGTTTTTCGGTATCAGAGGAGGAAATGGATGGAAATCAACTTGTAGTAACTTGTTCGATTTCACAGAATAAAAATTCGTTTATACCTACCTACGCCCTTATTGATACCGGAGCATCAGGATATGCTTTCATTGATGAATCCTTTGCACGCCACAACAATCTTACAATGACCCCCCTTAAAATACCTCGCCATGTAGACGTTATAGACGGAAGGCCTATTAAGTCAGGAAAAATTACCCATATTGTCGATGTCTCGCTAGACATTCATGGTCATCGGGAGACGGCGCCATGTTTTGTAACGAAGTTAGGACACTATCCGATTGTGATGGGGACACCTTGGATGCGACGACATGATGTTACGATTCGACCAAAAGAAAATCTACTTGTTTTTGACTCTCGAAGCTGTTGTCAACACTGTTCACTCAGTGGAACTGCAGTTATTGTTCATGGTATCTCGATCCCCTTACCGGAACACCATACAGTCATCGTTTCAGCAACCGAGAAATCCACTATCGATATCGAACAATTAGTACCGAAAGAATTTCACCATCGTCTTCATATGTTCAAAGAATATGATGCTTCAATTCTCCCACCACATCGACCATCCCATGACATCGAGATAGTATTAGAGGAAGGCAAACGACCACCATATGGACCTATATATGGATTATCTCAAATTGAGTTAAAAGCACTACGAGAATATCTTGATGAAAATTTACCCAAAGGATTTATTCGAGCCAGTGAATCACCAGCGGGAGCACCCATACTGTTTGTGAAGAAAAGCGATGGAACCCTTCGACTTTGTGTTGACTATCGAGGCCTAAATGCGATTACAATCAAAAATCGATATCCATTACCATTGTTGAAAGAAACCCTGGCTAAGTTATCAAGAGCACGATACTATACTAAGTTGGATTTACGATGGGGATATAATCAAATCAGGATAGCGGAGGGAGATGAATGGAAAACAGCATTCCGGACTCGATATGGACATTTCGAATATACAGTAATGCCGTTTGGATTAGCTAATGCCCCTGCTACATTTCAGCATTGGATCAATGATATTCTACGTCCCTACCTCGATCAATTCGTAACAGCATACTTAGACGATATCCTTATCTATTCCGAGACCCTATCAGAACATAAAGAACATATTCAAAAGGTTCTAAAGGTACTTGATGAAAATCATGTTCACCTTAAACCTGAAAAATGTGAATTTATGGTTCAGGAAACAAAATATCTTGGTTTAATCCTTACTCCAAATGGGAATAGAATGGATCCAAAGAAAGTTATCGATGTTTTGGAATGGACTACACCGACAAACCTTCGTGATGTTCAAGTATTCCTAGGATTTGCAAATTTCTACCGACGGTTTATTTTGGGATATTCGAAAATTGTTGCCCCGCTTACAGCCTTGACAAAGAAAAACGTTAAATTTGAATGGACGGATGAAAGGGAGGAAGCATTTCAGACTTTGAAAAAGATGTTTACAACGGCACCGATACTAGCTCATTTTAATCCAGATCGAAAAATTGTGATAGAAACTGATGCATCCGACTATGTTTCAGCAGGAATTCTATCTCAACGTGACAACGAAGGAATTCTACATCCAGTTGCTTTCTTTTCCAAGAAACACTCTCCCGCAGAATGCAACTATGAAATCTATGACAAAGAGCTTTTAGCAATTATACGATGTTTTGAAGAATGGCGACATCATCTGGAGGGAGCTCAATTTCCAATTGAAGTTCTTAGCGACCATCGGAATCTTGAGTATTTTATGACAACAAAATTGTTAAATCGTCGACAAGCCCGTTGGTCCGAATTTCTTTCACGCTTCGATTTCGTTATACAATTTCGGCCAGGAAAACAAGGAACAAAACCAGATGCATTGACTAGGAGGTCAGGTGACCTACCTAAAGAGGGGGATGAACGGTTAACGCATCAGAGTCAAGTGATTCTGAAGCGAAAAAATTTGGATACCAAGCTAAGTTTGTTCGCGGGTTCTTTGTCAAATGAATCCGCTGAAGGAGCGTCCACTGTAGAGGAGTTATTTTCAAAAGCTTACCAAGTGGATAGTTTCCCAAACAAGGTTCTCAATATGCTTCGGAATGGCATACGCCACTCAAACAAAATCTCACTTGCCGAATGTATGGAAGATAACAACGGTCGGCTGCTTTATCGAGGCATGCTATATGTACCAGACGATGATGACCTTCGACTAAGGCTTTTAAAAGAATATCATGACAAACCATCTGCAGGACATCCGGGTAGAGCGAAGACTCTGGAGCTCCTAAGTCGAGAATATTACTGGCCACAGATGCGGAAGTTTGTCGATCAGTATATTAGGAATTGCAATGTGTGCACCCGTAGCAAGGCATCACACAATGCACCTTATGGAGTACTTCGCCCCATGCCAATTCCCGATGGACCCTGGACAGATGTCTCGATGGACTTTGTAACTGATCTTCCTGAGAGTGATGGGTATAATGCGATTTTGGTCGTGGTGGATAGACTAACCAAAATGCGGCATCTGATACCAACGACAAAGGAGGCGGACTCACAGGAAGTAGCAAGGCTATATATTGATAATGTCTGGAAGCTACATGGATTACCCGACACTATGGTATCCGATCGAGGAACACAGTTCGTCGCGGAATTCTGGAGGTCCCTTTGTGATCGATTGGAAATCTCGCCAAAGTTCTCTACTGCATTCCACCCCCAAACAGATGGACAGACAGAAAGAATTAATGCCATAATGGAACAATACCTCCGAAGCTATGTTTCCTATCAACAAGATGACTGGGTCCGATGGCTACCGATGGCTGAATTTGCAACCAACAACCACGTTTCCGAAACAACAAAAGTTTCCCCCTTTTATGCTAATTCGGGAAGGAATCCTAGGATAACATTTGGGCCTTTGGAACATGGTCGAACGACGGCGGAGGATCAAGCGAACCGTATTGCAAGGGAAATGAAGGATGTGGTGGACTTCCTAAGAGAAGAAATGTTCCGGGCGCAAAGGATACAAGAAGAATCAGCCAATAGGAATCGAACTCCAGCTCCTCGATATTATTTAGGAGATAAGGTTTTTCTCTCGACCCGTCATATTCTAACAAAGCGACCCTCTAAGAAATTCGATTGGAAAC